TTCTTTTGATTATTGTAATTTCTTCTATGTAAAGCACTTTGAATTACCATTGTGTTTGAAATGTGCTATAAACTTGCCTTGCCTTGACTAAAATGCAACGTAGACAAGCATTTTATGTAAAGCTGCTTTGAAACGACGACATCTATTGTGAAAACTAAGCGCTGTACAAAGAAAAGTGAATTGAATTGAATGAAGTGATTTTTGAGCGTTAGTGATGAAACACTAAAAGAAAGGGGAACAAACATTTAAAGTCATCATTGCTTAGACAGTGCTTCCTTTTAGTTTTTCTATTCATGTTCAGAAAACACTTTTACTGTGTCAGAAGTCGAGATGCAATAACATCAGGTGATGTTGACAGTTAAATAATGTCACTACAAACGGGTTTGATTCACTGATCAGAGTTGTGTTTACTGTTATTTGTCAATCAAATATTCCGAAACATTGTGAGTAAAAAGTTATTAACCGTATTTAGACACAGACATCAACAATCACCATTTGAAACTCAAAAATGGAGACATGCTTCATTGCCAGCACACAAAACACATTCATGGCTCCCAGCATGCATTGCAGCATGAATACGTTTTGCAGCTGGAGTCTTTTACTATTAATATTTGAATATGTTTTCTTTTTCACAATTGCTGAGGTTTGTATGATGAGTGTTGACGCATTTACACAGTTTGTGTTGTGGTTACAAGTGACCTTTCTATCACAATGGCTACATTTCTTGCTTTTATATTCAATAATGTTTTGATTTAATAATCAAATGAAACTAAAATATGTTTAATACACACATGTTGATCTGATTTCAGTGTTTTTTCTTAATTAATGTGCAAATGCTCTCTGGAAACGCTATGGACCTTATCACAGTGACACCATCTTTGACGAGAATGAAAGCGAAGCTGTGAGGCATAGATATGCATCTCTTATGTGGATTGTACTGTTATTAATGTGTTTTTGGATTGTTCTGTTGACAAAACAGAAAAGTGATCTAGAAGTTTTATAGTTGTTGTTTTTTTAACAGTAAAACAATCTATTCTATTCCTCACAACCTCACTTTAATACATACCTGTCATGGCACTGCTCTGAATTAAGTCTATTTGAGGTGCTGAAAGAGAAATGAGTTAACAAAAGTTAAGGGTCAAGAGCCCATTAAAGCAAACACTGATCACCATCACGATGAATTCAAATTAAACACCAACAACAACAACAACAACAAGAAAACATCTAAATCCCACTGTAAAAAAAATATTGATGGTTTAACTTAAAAAAGGAAGTAACCTTGTTTCCTTAAAATGTTCAGTTCATTGAACTGGAAAAAGTGAGTTAATACAATGAAGGAGATTCATTTAACCATCAGAAACTCAAAATGATATATTATCTGAACTAAATAAATTATTTAAGTTGATTTGACAAAAGAAAAAATGTTGTGATTACTAGTTCAGGGGCATAGCTATGAGTGATGAATTCGCTATGATTAATAATGTTGTTTAGACTGCAGCGTCAATAGAATTTAAGACTAGATGTGGCCAGTTGTCTTCACAAAGAATTTTTTTTTTTAATATAATATTTGCAACGGACACCAGCAACTAATTGCACCTGTTTCCGAATATAGATAAAGAATTAACAAAACACAAACAAAAAATAAATACATTTCTAAATAAAACAATTTATTTATTTAATAAAAATTTACCCACATCAGGCACATAAAAACCAAAGTCTCCAAAAGCCTTGCGATAATAAATAAAGCCAAACAGGTACTTGATGAGAATGCACTACGTATCTTGTATTGTTCCTTAATTTTACCGTACTTAACTTACTGTGTGGAAATATGGGGAAATAACTATAACAACTTAATACAATCACTATTTATTTTACAAAAAAGGGCTATACGTATTATACACAAGGCTGATTATCTTGAACATACAAATCCACTTTTTCTTAAATCTATTATTATTTAAAATACAGGACCTAGTTAAAGTTAATATAGCAAAATTTTGATTTAAAGCATTTCACAACCTTTTACCTGCTAACATACAAAAGTTATTTACACAGAGTGAGCAGTCGTATAGTTTGAGGAGTTATGGGAACTTTGTAATACCAGTGGTCAGAACAACTAGGAGAAGTTTTTGTGTGTCTGTATGTGGGGTTAAACTTTGCAATAGTTTGGGGCTTGAACTTAAACAAAGCCAAAATATTCATCAATTTAAAGTACATTATAAACAGAAGGTCTTATCGCAATACATGTCGGCAATGGTTTAATTTTGTGAGTTGTATTCATGTATTTTTGTTAATATTACCCCGTAGGTATTCTGATTACCATTGTTCAGTCCCTCCAGAAAAACGCGATTATGCGATCGCTGAATTCAATGAAAAATCAGCCAAAGTCCGCATATTCATGCGGGGGCCGCATTTTTTCAAATAAGCCGCACTTTCGCCGCATAAATTGCCGATTTCCGTGCAAAATATGTGGGGTTTGCATAATTTCATAATCCTCGCATTTTCGTTGCAAAAAAAGTCACATGTATCTTAGCAGAAAGTTGAAAAATGTTGCGTTTGCTTCACACAAGAGCAGCCATTTCCCCCTGTTTCCATGGGAACGTTATGAAGTGACACAATTACGCGACGCCAGACAGACTCACGGAGGCGATTGACATCTCACAAATCGAACTCGTATAACTGTCTGTCACACGTTCTACCGTCACATCGTTACTTAATAAACATCACAAGATAAAAGAAGTAGCATCAAACAGAAAATACCAGCACACATGGGGTGTTTGAGGCGCACATAGAACACTGCAGAGAGTTCAACAGGGAGCGCGCAGCTCTTAAAGGGGCCACACCTTATTTACACTCGTTACAGTCTGAAATAAAACAAGATGAGAAATTAAATATTCCCAGCACTTTCTATGATGTAGTATGCTTGCTTATCAAAGGAAGTAATAAGAAATGACTCTTACATTAGCCTAGTGAGAACAGGATGTTGGGGGAATCACTTTTTTTCTCTTTTTCATCAAACCGCAATTTTTGCAAATTCCGGCAATTTCATCGCATAAAATTGCATAAATTTACGGTATGATGCTGGCAACCACAGCTGCCAGTAGTTTACCGCGTAATCAATCAATTTTTGCCCGCAACAATCACAAAAAAAACTCAGCGTTTTTCTGGAAGGACTGAATACTATTATGGTAAATGTTATATATAAATAGCAAATTTTTTCACAAATTTTTGGAAATTACCACCACAAAATCAGTCATTTTGATCGCAAAAATCACAAAAAAAAAATCGTGAAATCCTGGAGGGACTGATTGTTGGTACTTTCATAGATGTATCCATGTGTTTATAATCTGTTTTATTTTACCTTGTAGGTAATTGATTACCATTGTTGGTATTATTATAATTGTTACCTGAGATCACAATCATGGTGTGTATTTAGGATATGTTTTGTTTTGTTTTGGTATTGTTTTGCTTTTGATGAGGGAGAAGGGGTTTCCCTTCTTTCCTTTCCCATGTTTTCATATATGTACTTATATCCAAAATTGTTATTGAGTGTTATCAAATAAGTTTGACTTCTATCCACTCCGTTTCGAGCACTAGATTTAGGTTTTGCTAAAGTTGATGTAAATATGATGAATTTAAAGGCTTGTACAGACTAACCAAGATGCTTCGTATTGCCTTGTCATGTCATGTAACTACATATTGCTCGAAATAAACAAATAAATAAATGAATAAATGTATAAACTTTTATAACCTTAAACTTATTATTGGTTTATGTCACGTTGTCATGACAAAGACACTGACAGGTTATGATGTATTGGTTTATGTCAAGTTGTCATAACAAAGACATCTCAAACAATGTCATATTTGCATTTAAAATGTCATAATTAAGCGAATGACGGGTCAAGGATCAAGAGCCCAGCTAAATCAAACACCGATCACCATAACGGTGACTTCAAATTAATGTTTAGGTGTTGAACAAAAGAGGTGATTCAAGAGATTCAACAGAAAGAATCAATTAATCTGTTCAGAAACAAAGTTCCAATGACATAAATATATATAGTTTTTAATTTATACACTGTAAAAAAAAAATATTTTCAAGAATTGTTATCACAACACTTTTTCTTTCGTCAAATCAACTTAAATAACTTATTTAGTTCAGATAACTTACTATTTTGAGTTTCTGTTGATTAAATTAATCTCCTTCATTGTATTAACTCACTTTTTCCAGTTCAATCAACTTAAAATTTTAAGGCAACCAGGTTACTTAATTTTTTAAGTTAAACCAACAATATTTTTTTTTACAGTTCGTCCTTTTTGTCTTTATTTGACAGGACAGTTTAAAGCACAGCGAATCATCTGGGGGGGAAAAAACAAACATAGAGAAAGGAACAGAACATGTACATCATGATGAGTAAAGAGCCTGAAGGGAACCAAAGCTTATTGCCTATTTAAGAATTTGCTTTAGTGCAGTTTCACATCCTGATGCAAGATTCTCTGAAAACCTTAATAGTTTACTTAGGATGACTCTATGTCCTATCTTTCCTGGACATGTCCTCTTTTTGAACCTAAAAATAAATCAACGCATCCAGCCGGGATTTCTAGATTGCACAAAATGTCTGAGATTCGGCTTTTGCTTTCTACAGTTTCTACACTGTAAAAAAATATTGATGGTTTAACTTAAAAAAGTAAGTAACCTGGGTTGCTTTAAAATTTTAAGTTGATTGAACTGGAAAAAGTGAGTTAATACAATGAAGTAGATTAATTTAACCATCAGAAAGTCAAAATAATAAGTTATCTCAACTAAATAAATTATTATAAAGATGATTTGACAAAAGAAAATATGTTGTGATAACAAATGTGTTTCCTTATGTTTGCATGCACAGTTTTTGTTTCTGAATTCATTCCGATTGATAAATCTGAATGTAGTGTTTACATGAACACTTGAGAATAGATTGATGTGTGTTTTTGGATTTTTTTTAGGTCCAGCCTTCTCGCACGCCACCATTGGTTGGTCGGTCATGTACGTAACATAAACATTGGTCAACCTGCATGTTGAAACAAATAATGAAAGTTCCCTATTTTATGGTTTAAATACAGCTGTTGTCGACTAACGGGATGACTTTTCTCATCTTCTCTCATCAGTGTTCCTGAGCAAGTGAAGAACCTTCCAAAAAAATATTCCAGGTAATTTACATTTTACATGTAATCATTTAGCAGACACTTTTATCCAAATCGACTTACACATGAGGAGAGCAATAGAAGCAATAAAACATGTAGCAATGTTTTTATTTTATTTTTATTCTATTATTTTATATAGTAAGTGTTAAAGGGATACTCCACTTTTTTTGGAAATAGCCTCATTTTACAACTCCCCCACAGTTAAACAGTCGAGTTTTACCGTTTTTGAATCCATTCAGCCGATTTTCTGATATTTAGAAGAATATCAGTAACCAGACAGTTTCTGGTCTCATTGACTTCCATAGTAAATATTTTTTTTCCTACTATGGAAGTCAATGAGACCAGAAACTGTCTGGTTACTGATATTCTTCTAAATATCAGAAAATCGGCTGAATGCATTTGAAAACTGTGAAACTCAACAATTTCACTCTGGGGGAGTTATAAAATGAGCCTATTTCCAAAAAAAAAAGGGAGAGTATCCCTTTAATGGGTCAAGTGTTGACAAAAGAGATTCGTCTTCAGCTGTTTTTGGACAATGGCTTAAAAATGAGCAGCTTGGGTTGAGTTAGGCAGGTCATTCCACCAGCTTGGAACAGTCAAGTTAAAGGTCCATGCTAGTGATATTGTGTCTTTTTGGGATGGCACCAAAAGGTTCACTTGCAGAACGCAAGCCTCTGGATGGCAAGAAGGTATTTTAAAAAAGATTTAAAGGGGTTAAATGTATTATTCTTGTTTTATAAATTCACTGATTAGCTATCTAGTAGAACAGTCCAGGTACACCATGCAGGGTAAAACTTTGTTGTGTAACATTTTTAGTGTGTAAATCTGTACATGTTCCTCTTGCAATAAGAGATTTAGTAAATAAGTGTAGATTTAGTTTAAAAAAAAAACTGTTTTAATTGTCTTTCATCATCTTCACTAGATCATCTGAGGGATTTGACTGAATCAAGATGCTGCTGATCATTGAAGCTCTTCTTCTCATTTTAGCTGCTCTGGGACAGGTAAGCTTGTGTTCTAGAATGAAAATTACAGATGTAAATATACAGATGATGTGATCATTATGATTTCTGTTGCTGCAGGATCATAGCGCTGCTGCTGAAGGACAGATATATCCATTGGATATGGCACCAGATTCTGTTGATGATCAATATTTGGCTTGTGGAAAGAAAATGGCATATCTGGTGAGGAATAAATATCTAAAGAAGGAAAGCAATACCTCAACTGAATTTAAAAAGGCATGGCAAGAAGGTAAAGAGAATGCCAGTGCGCCAGAAGATAAATTGACAAAGAATCATTCTATTGCCTTGTATGTGTACACTAACCTTAATTCTAGCATACAGAGCAATTTTGATATGGCTGTTTATAATGGTAAACAAAACTACAGAAACCAGACATTCAAATGGTATTCACTTCATTTTTTGTTAACAGATGCAATAAGGATATTGATTAGAAAACAAAAGCAATGCAAGTCAACATATCGTGGTACAAACGTTGAATTTTATAAGAATGTTACAGGCACGGAGGTTCGCTTCGGCTCATTTGCTTCATCCTCTCTTGATCGTAAAGTAGCGCAGGGTTTTGGAACGAAATCTTGTTTTGAAATCAAAACTTGCAAAGGCGTTAACGTGATCAAATATTCGAAGTATCCTGAACAGAAAGAGGTGCTGATTCCTCCAAACGAGACGTTTAAAGTCACTGCTGTCAAGACTAGAAAAGACCAGAAAAATCTCTGGTGTGAAACAGTGTACAAGTTGGAAAGCTCTGGAAAAAGAAGTGACCTGAATTGTTCAGTGGCTTTCGAGAAATCAGTTCGGCGTAAATGCATATGCTCAAGGGCAAAGGGCTATTGTGCAATGTATGGAATATCACGGTGAAGCTTCTTTGAAACAACAATCTGTATTGTATAGATACATATATAAAAGTCCTATATACATAAAGGTGACAATAATATCCAAGCATTCAGTGTGAGGGCTTTTTCTTGGGCGGAACGAAACTGAAAGGATAACAATTGAGCGAACTCAATCCCACTGATGGAGAAATTTCCATTGGGCAGAAAATTGGTCAGAACAGCATTGCCACCAGTTTTTGTATTCCCTGTTATTTGATCCCATGATCCTGGCATTACCAGCCTTGCTGTACAGCTTGAACGAAAGTAATAGTTCAAAATGTATGTTGAGTGCTTTGAATTTACATCCTTTTGTTTTGTTCTACACACATTTGTTTGTTCTTCAAAATTAAGTTGATCATACAATTGTGATGTAAATGATTTAAAGATCTGTATTGATTTACTTTTTTGTCTACTACTGTAATTTGTGTAGCAGTTCCCATTGTTTTTGCTTCGCTTGAATAAAAGCTGTTGTGCTATTCAGATGAAGATTATTCAACAAACCCAATAAATGATCGTTTTTATTATAACTTTGTCTCCTGAATCATGCTCTGTCTGCATCATGGCCAGTTAGTTGGAAAAAGTTAAGCCTGGTTCACACTGTATGATTTTGGCCAATATTTGTAATCCTAAACGATTCTTTTTATTGGCTAAAATCTCTCAAGTCTTTGATCACTGTTCGCCGGGATACTTCACCTCTGGAAAGATGAATGTGTGTTTAAAATGGGTCATTTATGTAGAAGAAATGCAAAATTAGTTTTGAATTTGAAGCTATCTAGACTGAGAAAAGACAGAAAATGCATTTTTGGCTTATGTGGATGAAAGACAACAACTCCCAGAATGCACTTGATTCGTTGCCCTTCGCACACCTACTGGTAACAGAGCATAGTAGTTAAACAAAAAGTCTAGGTATCTAAGATAGGGATTTCGAGATCGCCCAAAATGTCCGGGATACAGTCGCTATGGCGAGCAGGATGAGTGAGGGTCACTGGAGAACGGTGCGATTTTGTACGATCTCGACGGCCGGACATGTCCAGGAAAAAGAGGATGGTAACCCCTACTACTCTGCTTTCTCCTAATAAGTTACTCAGCGTTCTCCACAGAACAAGAGCTTGCTAGCTTAGCTTTCAAAAAAAGATGGCTGACATAATGTGTACATTCTGTGAGTGAGATCCCACCATCTATGGGTGGGTTGAGAACATGCGGGACAGCCCCTACTACTGGCTGTAGTCTTTAGCCTCTGGCCAAAAAAATCCTCTGGTGATGCAAAATGATAAACTGTTATTTCCTCTCGACAGTATATCTTTAGTTTTACTCTAGCAGCTGAAACTGTTCATAAAGAGTTTATCTGTTTATCTGAATCTGTTGTTCATTGTCACCATTGTTGAGATTAATTTGCTGATTCTTGATTTCTTTGTATGTCTGAATGATAAAGTATTTAAAAATATTTTACAATTAGTATGACAGGTCACAACACTACTGGAAGCGTTACATTTTTTAAAATAAACGGTCTAACCATGTTTAAAGGGTGTTGTGTTGAACATACTTGTTCATACTAGTCCTAGAGCTTTCAAAAGATCAACTCAAATTTGGAAGAGATGTTCTTCAGACAATAAAATTCAAAAATATCTTTGTGATATTGTCAACCGTTACCATGTGACACAATGAATGAATGATGGTGTAGACACCAAACCAGTTTGGCTTTGTATGGTGTAAAGAAAGTGAGGATAGATGTTTGATGTATGAAAATGGCGATTTCATACGAAAAATTGCAGATGGAATTTAACTCACTTTTTTGTTAACAGAAGTGATACAGATTCAGATGAAAACACAAAATAAATGATGTTTCACGCTTTCACATGGGTTTGCTATCTTGCTGACTTCCAGGCAGAGACTTCTACGTAATGTTAAGAAATAGCTTGAATGTTTTTTTTTTTTTTTGTAGCAGAATGAATTTATTATTTTGTGTAAACTGAAAAAGAATAATCTAAACATGTTGCTAACAAGGACAAAACAAAGACCATTGTGTTGACTTGACTGAAATCAAGTCAAATGTTGTCCCAACTTTCCAAAATAGAGTCATCTGGACAAACAGTTTTACACTAATATACGCTGCAACGAGATAGCATGGTACAAATATATTTTCCTTATATTAAAGTAATAAATTTACACTTGGTTCACAGAGGGAAATAATTATGACAGTTTTTGAAAAACATATCTGTTTTACAGTGTACTGTAAATGCATCATTTCTCACACAGACACACACACACACACACACATGGACATGGATGATTTGCAATATACAAAAGCCACATTCCTTTTCTCTTATTTGAAGAGTTGTTTTTTTCTGGCTGTTAGCGACAGACATTTCTCGTCGTTTCTCCTGAAAAAAATTGCGAAACGGTATCTGACAACAAGAATCAACAGCATTCTGAGGTATGTTTGTGGTTAAAGTCGATACCATGGCCGTTAAAGTTTTATATGGGACAATTGCAAAACACTGATCCAGCAGTTTGTATTGTTTAATGGTATGTGGTCTGTCATCTGTATGTTTACCTGGCTGCAAGACAAGTTTCTTTCAGGGGACAATAAATTGAAACTGAACTGAAATTAATTGAACTATCTGGCCATTTTGTGATTTTTTGACTACCATGAATACTAACAAAATAAGGATTTGTGCATTTTTTACTGTACCGTGTTTTTAACTGGCCTTTAAATTTAGCATTATTGTGTGGTTAAAAAAAATGTTACCTTGCCAAAGCATAGCCCAAGCTCTTTGATCTAATGGTGTTGTTGAGCGCTCCAAAATCAAACTTTACATGCAACAGTCAGACAGTAATTGACAGTTCTCTGATCCAGTGGCATATCGTCAGATTGAAACCCTTTACAAACTTTACTAAAGTGCCAAACATGCGCTCATTGGCGCCCTTCCTGCTGATGCGACCGTAACCGCATAGTTTTCCTATGCCTAAAGACAGCCCTGTTTATAGACAGAGCTGCAAGTCCTTTCTCATCCTTCACTGTCATTGCTTCTCCTTTTATCCTTCCGGACCTTCTCTGTAGGTCTCGAGACCGGTATGGTGCACAGATGACGCTCATTAACACTCGCGCCATGGCCTCGCTCTGTTCCCAAAGCTTTCGGCATCGCACTGCTTGCCGTTATCCCCTAACAACGTTTATAGAATTAAATTTCCCAGTGGGCACTCAATGTGGAAAACTCAACAAACAGTATGACCAGCCTCACTTTCTCTCGTCTACAAAAGTAACAGAGGTTAAGATGTTGATGTTTAATGTTTGACTTGAAATCACCATTATGGCAATCAGTGTGTGCTTTAGTTTGACTCTTGACTCTTAAAGGATTAGTTCACTTTTGAAAAAAACTTTTGCTGATAATTTACTCACCCCCATGTCATCCAAGATGTCCATGTCTTTCTTTCTTCAGTTGAAAAGAAATTAAGGTTTTTAATTAAAACGTTCCAGGATTTTTCTCCATATAATGGACTTCACTTATTTGTTCATTTTCATTTTACACTTTACTGATCTGCACTACATTTTGATTAGTTTTCTCTTGCTTCTCATACACTGACTTAATGCATCTCTTGATTTGAATTATGATTTAATTTCATCATTTAATGTTTAAATAAACTATTTTTGATTTAACTTTACAAACGGTGTGGTCTCCCTTATGTCACTGCTACTTTGAGCTAGGTAGACGTGACATATGGGGGCTCGTCCAGCCAGTTGAATCCCGAATTGTAAGTAGACTATTGTAATGCGCAATATTGTGTAGGCTTAGTTGCGTGGATAGTGCTACGTCATTGGTTCACATTTTTGTGAATGAACGTAAGGTGATCAGCTGATAGTAGTCAGCTGGCGCTCGTTTGTTTGTTGGGGAGTTCCGCATCGAGTGTTCAGTTAATGAATTGAATATTTGAAAATTAGTCACTAAAGTTAGTGTTTTGATTATGAAAAAAAACATTTTTTTGGTGGAGTTTTTGCGCAAATATAGAGCAGTTTTTCCAACCATACTTTGTTTGATGAGTTTGATTGGCGAAGTGTGTGTGTAAGCTGATTTGTGTTGCAGGATGACATTTTACGGAGCCTGTTTTATCCCCAATTAGTGCGCGTATGCGTTGCTGGGTTTAGGTTCCTGGTCACTGAAGTCCGGACGAGGGCACCGCCGTGGAGCACCGGCTGAATTGACTTTTGTCGGGACAGTACGACTCCATCGGTATTGGTGAGTAAATGAGCCTTGTTCTTGGACTTAGTGTGAAGATAGGTTAGAATAGTAGGGGGGTAAATGTTTAGGGGGAAACTCCGTAGTTGTCCTGTAATGTAAACTATTTTTTGATTTAACTTTACAAACGGCGTGGTCTCCCCTATGTCACTGCTACTGTGAGCTAGGTAGACGTGACATATATAAAAGTGTAAACTACGAGCGATCGTTTCGCTTTATAAGACCCTTATTCATCGTCTAGAATCGTTTAAAGCCCTTTGAACAAGTTTGCAGTTTGTACTTAAAGTTTCTTTTGGAACTTGAACCGTCTGGTTCCCACTGAAGTCCATTATATGGAGAAAAATCCTGGAATGTTTTCATCAAAAACCTTAATTTCTTTTCGACTGAAGAAAGAAAGACATGGACATCTTGGATGACATGGGGGTGAGTAAATTATCAGCAAAAGTTTTTTTCAAAAGTGAACAACTCCTTTAACTTTTTGACATCAGTTTTTCTTCTGTGACGTTCTGTTATGTTGAAAAAGCCAAGCAAAAATAGAATCAGGAAGCAGTCTGATCTAATCTTATTTTTAATGATTTATTTTTTTATTATTATTATTTTGATTTGTGTCTCTGTAGCAGAAGGTTCTGTAGTATTCAGATAATATCAAGTATTTTGACACCAAATTGTACAGTAAACACTTATTAAACTCACTTAGACATCAATAATCAGTATATGAATCTCAACAATGGTGACATGCTTTATGCTGCAGTGTATTCTGGGAGCCATGGATGAGTTGTGAATCGTGATGCACCTAGAATTTCTCAAAATTTATTTAATCTTTTTTTATACTATAGCTTAAAAAGTAATGATTAATTTATCAGTTTTTCACTTTTAATTAGTTTGTCGAATCTTTGGTTCAAATCATTGGTGTCTCAAGCTTCATAACTTCTGATTGCAGATATATTTACAATTTAGATGTGTCCAAAGGTTTGAGCAGTATCATTCTGTCCATCTACTGACTCATTTACTGCCACCCTTAAACTGGTGGATGTGTTTTTGTTTCCTACAGGAATCTGGAGTGAAAGATTAACTATTCCATGATCACAATCTGCTCAACACAATATCTCTATTGTTTTCTGCCAGTACCGACACGACAGGCACGACTCTGCGCTGAGGTCTCTATGAATGGAGTGAGTATTTTCCATGATTCTCCCTCATACGACCAGCTGTGATGTTCACTTCCAAGAATACTATTTCAAGAAGGTTGGTCCTGCTTGGTATATATTTTGTTGTTTTTAAGAGCTGTTCACCAATTACTCCGATACCTATTAGCTTGCCATATAAAAGTAATTTTTACTGCTATATGCTTATGGTTTGTTCTCAATTTTGAGGGACCCAGTTGACAGGGAACACTCTCATAACTTTGGCTAGCATTCTGGCAAGGTTCTCTCAAAGTTATGAAGATACAACATTGTTTGTAGAAGTTTTTTTTTAAAATATTCCTCGTAATGTTTGGAGAAAACGTTCTTAGAACAACATTCTAAACATCCCCAACATTTAGAATGACAACTAACGAATAAGACTCTGTGTGCTATTTTTCTGAATTTCAAATGGTTGCCTATTCACTTTCTGTTAACAGCTGCAATACGGAATCTGAATGTAAACCAAACAGCGTGCTATGATGGAATATATCGAGGTACAAAAGTTAAGGCATTTGATAAGAATGTTCTGAATACAGAGATTCGTTTTGGCCAGTTTGCATCTTCCTACTTTGATCGTAATCTAACAAAGAATTTTGGAAATGTATTTTGTTTTGAAATCTACACTTGTGAAGTATCCTGATGCGAAAGTGCTGATTCCTATGAGACGTTCCCTGCTGAAAAATCACGTATAAACCAGCCCAGATAGCAAACTGACATTGAATCAACGTGGAAATATGACATCGAAACAACGTTGATCTGACATTGTTTTGCTCATCGAATTAACGTTGAAGCAACATCAGATGCGTCATTTTTTGTTTGTTGTTTAAACGTTATGAAAGCAAACCAATTTTCGATTTTCATTTAGCTTCGAAGAATGCCGCGTCTGACGTTGGTTCAACGTTATTTCGATGAGCAAAATCAACGTTGTTTCAATGTCATGAGAGACATTGTTTCCACGTTGATTCAATGTCAGTTTGCTGTCTGGGAGGTCTTGCCATAAGGTCAGGTCAAATCACAACCTCGTTTGAGAGTGAGTAGACCAGCTGTCTGTATGCAAGCAGTGTTTTGGGGGCAAGCATTGTTTTTGCTTGCATATTTCTATAAGTAACACATTAAATAACTAAATGAAAAACTTTTAAATGTAAGGTTAAAACATGTGGTTATTGAATTGAATGATTACAACTTCTTAATTTGCTTTGCCCCCACTTCAGAAACTAGAAAATCTTAATTGTGTTAGTTATGATTACATTCAGTCATCCTCTGGTGAGATCATTGATTTTATTTGCAGAGGATTTCACCGGCTGTCTGGCTGTGAGTCAATTGTTGTGTTTCTGCTCATCTCTTCTCCTTTTTCTGTTCTTGTTGTTCCTCTTATCTTCAGTGATTCTGCTTTTTAACAGCAGGTGTCTATTGCTCAATCATCACTTGCAGAGTGAATTTTACTTTATTTCACTAACAGCAACATTGCTTCAGTCTTACTTTTACTCTCTAGATTGGGACCATATATGAAAACTAAGCAGCGTAACCAGCAACATGATTTTTTTTTATTTTTTTTATTAAAATTAAAAAATAAAAATTTATTAAAATAAACGTGGAAAATTGACTTTGTCTTTATTTAACCACAAACACACACTAAGAAACGGGATATGTAACACATACGCACGTTTTGTTGTGGACTTGCATACTAGCACTCAAAAGATAACACATCCCAAGCTAGTCTCAGCATGCAAAACATACTTTACACTGTTGTAAGTACAACCCATCAGGCCAAAAAAGGATTTGTTTAAAATAAACCACTTTAATGCAGTAATTTGTCTCCCAATGCAGGCGTCACGTGCAATTGCTGAAAAAAGCAACTTAAAAAAGGATAAGGGTCAAGAGCCAAACTAAAGCAAACACTGATCACCATAATGGTGACATAATGTTAATTCTCAAAAAATAACTGCTGTAGATGTCTGACAGAAATAAAGAATAAAGTCTGGTTAGTAATAAGTGAAGCTGGTAATTCTGTTTGTGGGGTTGATTAATCCTCCTCTGCAGAGATCTTCAGAGATTTAATGTCTTTTAATTTTCAGTTAATTTCATCTAAGGCTGTGGCTGAAGAAAGTTGTAGTTCTTGTGTTTCTGCTCGTCTCTTTTTCTCTTCTCTTCTTTCCTTCAATGATTCTGCTTGTTAAAAGGCTAAGTAAGGCTGAGATGACTCCATATTTAATATACACAGATTTTGTGGCTCAGATAAGGTCCAGTTCTGGTTTATTTCTTTGCTCTTGGCTAACTGTGGCCCAGATCTGGCAAAAAGAAATGAGCCACCCAAGGGCCGTCATTCATTGCTGCATGTGGGCCAGATAATCTTTACACATGTGGCAGATCTGGGACATCAAAATGTTGCTATGTGGGTTCTGACCTATAAAAAAAATCATAATCATTCACGTTGGCCATAAGAGAACTGGCCCCCGACTGAGCCTGGTTTCTCTAAGAATTTTTTCTCCATTGTGTCTCCTGATGGAGTTTTAATATGGTGACGCAAAAGTGTGCAAAATTCAATGTAGTATGCACTCCAGGTGGCTAGGTGGCAATGTGAAGCACTGCCACACAACACCACCAAGTCCACGCACCTGTGTACAACCTTCACTGTCAAGTAGACTTTTGCGTTTTTACCCTTTACACGGGAACGCGGCGGTGGAGCGTTTTTAAGATTTCCACTCTGGAGGGTGGTTTCACTTTTTTGCGTTTGTAAGCCCCCAAAACGCTGTCGCCGTGTAAACGAAAGGCACATCCGATAAAATGTTTTTACGTTTTCACCGCGAGTGTTCTTATGTAAACGGGGCCTAAATCACTGTTTTCTCCAGAGCAACTGTATATACAAAGTACTAAACGAATGACTTTTTTACAACAGAAACTTACTTAATAAGTTCAACTTTGAAGCTATTTTCTTCTAGATCTGCTGTACAGTCAAACGAAACTTTTTGCATTATTGCGTTGAAACCATCTGTATTGAAGAAAGCTGAGAGAAAAACACATTTTCAGAGAGAATTGAAAAGTGGAACTTTTCCAATAATAGTGAGTGCAGCAAGATTGTTCAGTATTCTTTGTTTATTAATTATAGAGTATTAATACTCATATTTTATCGTTTTTTACAGATTACAGATGCACGGGAGTGTCAAGTAAAATGAAAAGGAGAATTCTTGAGATTGCTCTGCAGTATGTTCAATGTTGTCATTGTCCTGCAAGAGGAGGTTGTGATGGAAAACGTGGGAGACTTTACAGATGTATTCATTGTCCGTTTTGGCTTGTTGTATTCACTAAACTTGGAGAACAATACAGAGTTAAAATACATATACATTTGAGTTCATTCAGAAGGTCTTCTGTGACATTAGGACCAAGAGCACCAGAAGAGTATAAAATCTGAGGACCAAGTTATTGCAAATGTAAGTAGAATTTCACTGAAAACTTTTGATGGAAATTAATTAATACAGATTTCTAAAATGCAGTTTGTTTTTAAGAGTGGTTTCAGGTCTAAGATTGGCTTGGTCACTACTGATGACCCCCGGGATTCAATTTTAGGCCCCTTACTCTTTAGCATTTATATATTTCAGCTTGGACTGCTCTTAATATCACTTGGGCATTTTTGTCAATTTTATGCAGATAATACTTATATGATTTATATGCACTGGTATAGCCACAACGTGGATGTTTCTTTATCTCACATTGTATTTATGAGATAAAAATAGGGATGACCCCAAAATTTTTGTGTCTTAATGATAAGACAGAGGTTTTGCTTATTGGCTCTCCTCATCAGCTTCGCAAAGCTGGCTTTGGAGTTCCAAACTACATGAAAAAATATACCTTTTCTGATCACCTTTTCTCTTTGTTCATTTGACTGTTATAACAGATGTACAATAGCTGAACAATTTCTAAAATAAATGACTTAAGGCTCAAGAGCACAACTAAAGCAAACACTGATCTCCACAATGGTAACCAACTACAATTTCCTCCTTCAGAGATTCTGATATTATGGTGACTTCAAATGAAACACAGAGTTAAACCTCTGTTAATTCTCAATAAAATCTTCTGTAGAAGTCTGACAGAAATAAAGTCAGTCTGGTTAGTAATAAGTGAAGCTGGTAATGCTGTTTGTGCAGTTGTTTAATCCTCCTCTTGCGGAGATCTTCAGAGATTTAATGTCTTCTTTTCTCTTCAGGTGATTTCATCTAAGACTGTGTCTAAAGTCAGTTGTAGTTGTTCTGCTCGTCTCTTTTTCCATTCTCTTCTTTCCTTCAGCGATTCTGTTTGTTAACAGGCTTATTAAGGTTGAGATGACTCCATGTTTAATATACACCGATTTTGTGGCTCAGATAAAGTCCAGTTCTGCTTTATTTCTTTGCTCTTGGCTGACATGTGGCATTGCTATGGCCTGCTTGTGGCCCAGATCTGGCAAACAGGACTGGGCCACCAAAGGGCCATCACTCATTGCTGCATGTGGGCCAGATCTGCATGCCACAAGTGCCAGATGTGGGCCGGATCTGGGCCGAAACAATGTTGCTATGTGGGCATGGGCCAATAGTACCCACATTTTCAACAAAAGAGCAATTTCTGAAACCTCTGGGTCCCAAGAGGGCGTACTTGGCGGTTGACGACGCTATGTCTAGTCACCCTCAAGCCCACCTTTCATCGCCAGTGAGCAGCAGTGGCTGTGTCCCGCACACACTGTGTCCCTTCACAGGCTGCCGTGTCTTCACGAAAGTCGCGGAGGCGGCCATTGCTCCCATGTGCGAGCGTGGTGTGCACGTTCTCAACTTCCTCGATGACTGGCTTATTCTCGTCCAGTCGAGAGAGCAGTTGTGCGAACACAGGAACATGGTGCTCATTCACCTCAGCCACCTAGGGCTTCGGGTCAACTGGGAAAAAGAGCAAACTCACCCCTGAGCAGAGGACCTCTTTTCTCGTTATGGAGTTGGACTGGATTAGCATGACAGCTCGCCTCACCGAGGCCCGCGTCCAGTCAGTGTTGAACTGCGTGAGCATGCTCAAACGCAGAACAGCGGCACCACTGAAACTATTTCAGAGGTTCCTGAGGCATATGGCCGCCCCAACACTGGCTCCACGATCGATTCCCAAGATAGACGTGACAGAGCAGCTCGTGCCGGGTCCAAATTTCTATACCCTCTTGGGATTTGTCTCTGGTCCTTTCGGCTCTTCAGAGACCACCTTTTGAGTCTTTGCAGTCAGCTGAATTCTGACCTGTAAAACAGTACTCCTGGTTGGACTGGCCTCCATCAAAAGGGTAGGGGATCTGCATGCATTTTCGGTCAACGAATCGTGCCTAGAATTCGGCCCGGCTAACTCTTACTTGATCCCGAGACCCCGACCCGGATACGTGCCCAAGGTTCCTACCACACCACTCCATTCTGGGACCAGGTGGTGAATCTGCAAATGCTTAAAACTAGTTTAAACTGTGTTTAATTTGTATGGATACATTTTAGTAACAAGGTATTATTCATTGTAGAGTTTATTTATAATCATTTAATTTTAAAATATAGATTTTGGGGTTTGCAAGTGCACAACTGCTTATAAGTTATATTAAATGATTTATTTATTGAAAATGTAAAAATGCAGTTTTCTGTGACGGTGTCCCAGCAAGGTGTGCAGGAGTGCGATGGCTATCATGCGTCTCACCCACCCACACACACAAACGCACCAAAACTCACACACATTATGCGCAGAGACAGTCAAATATAAAAGGGCGGTGAGAGATTCACTCGGGGAGCTTTTCAACTTTAAACCCAATTCTTCAGTCCTCTGAAACGGTAAGATGATTTTATTTTTTTGTCACCCATTCATAAGCTGTATAGCTTCTTCAACACTCTAAAATGTAAGATTTAATTTTTTCATTTATTTAAAATAATTGCTCCTGAGGATATCGGTCATAACCTGTATGTTTTTTTTCTGGTATCTTTTTGTTGGAAAATATATTTTATACCCTTTGTATTCACGTGCTTTTAACGTATTTAAATATTTGTGAATGACTAAATGGACATTTTAGAACCATTTCATTTATATACATTTTCAACTCTATTGTGTGAGATATGTGACATTATTCGAAAAACTCTTTCTCTCACTAACCCCCGCTGGACAGGAAGATAAAGTTATTACCCCCAGGTCAATAGGGCAAAATCATACGTCCAGAACTTACTTTCAAAAACCGATGACGTATTATATCAAAAATTGGGCAAAACTAACTGTCGCAATGATACATACCCCGGAAACAACCAACTGACAAAATGACATATAATACCCTGGATCAAAGCCAACTGACAAAATGATGTGTGCTCTTCATACTGGTCCTCAACATGTCAAAAAGAATGGCAAAATATCAGTTAAATTTTTGAGTTAATCATTCCGTCGCCATTATGTCTACACCGAAATTAAAGTCTATAGTGATATTTTTTTTTTTTTTTTGAAGGCATACAAATGGTTTTCAACTAACTTTTTTTTTAGATTCAGAAGAAAACGCAAAATAAATGCTGTCAACTTATTGTATTAGTAAACTTGAATTTGAGGAATGTTTTGAACAAAGAGGTTGGCTCAGGTTCTGTTGTATAATTCAAGTTTGTTTGGAACTGTCTATTATCCTGAAATCCGCACTTGTATAGGTGCTGAAAGAGTTTGCTTTCTAGTCTACTTGCCAGGCTGGTTTTCTGAAATCAAGAGATTCCGCGGAATGATCAGAGATCAGATAAGCAAAATGATATGCATTTTATGATGACAGAGATTATTTGTAATATAAAAAAAGCCATGTTGTGCTGTGTGACTGTGAGCAAACAACTTTTCGTATCTTCACTTCTCATCGTCACTCTTGAAAAATAACAAAAATAAAACATTATCTGACAGGTAAGTTTTTGGATAAAGTAAAATATCAAAATATCAGTGAACATCACAGGCGTAAGAAATTATTTCGGTAACACTTTACAATACGGGTGCACTAATATGCATTAATTCATACTTAACTAATGCACAGATAATCATGAGTTAATATATAACTCATGAAGAACTAAACCATTAATTAATGATTACTGCATCAGCAACTAATATATGATTAATAGATTAAGTAATATATGAATTACTATTAATTCAATGTATTAATTCCTTAATAACATATTTGATTAACTAATAGTGTAAATTAATGTGTTAATTACCACAATTAGTCAAAGCTATGCACTTCAACTTCCAGTTGTCTGCTTTAATTAATCATTAGCTAATGATTTGCAAAGGTATCATTATGTTATGACTTTACTTGTTGGGGCACATCATTATTGACTAGTCATTTAGTAATTGTAGCAATTTGCACATGAATTTGCACTAACAATGAAGTAATTAATCATGTATTAATGCATATTAGTGTACCTGTCATATTATCTGGAAGTTGAAATACAAGGCTTTGGCTCATTCTGGTAATTAACATATTAATAGTTAAAAAATTAGTTATTAATCTGTTCTTCACTAGATCTACCTGATCATCTGAGGGATTTGACTGAATCAAGATGCTGCTGATTATCAAAGTTCTTCTCATTTTAGCTGCTCTAAGACAGGTAAGCTCGTGTTCGAGTATGGATATTACAGACATGAATACAGATGATGTCATCATTATGATTTCTGTTGCTGCAGGATAACAGCGCTACTGCAGGACAGATATTTCCATTGGATATGGCACCGAATTCAGTTGATGATCAATATGACGGATGTACTGTGAAAATGGCAGAGCTGGTGAACACAACTTATCTAGAGAAGGAAATATCGACCTCAGCTGAATTTAATAAGACTTGGCAAGAAGGTGAAGAGAAAGCCAAGAAAGCAGAGGATAACTTGCAACAGATTCATTCAGTCGCCATTTACGTGTACACTAACAAAGACTCTAGAGCATATAGTAATTTCACAAGTGCCACTCGTACTGACAAACAGAAATATAAAGAGGGGACATTCAAGTGGTATTCGCTTCACTTTCTGTTGACAGAAGCGTTACAGATTCTGAAAAAAACGCACAAAACATGCTACGTAACTTATCGAGGAACTAATGTTGAATTCGATCTTCAGAGCAAAGAGGTTCGTTTGAGCTCGTTTTCATCCTCATCTCTTGATCCTAAGGTAATACAGGGTTTTGGAAATAAATCTTGTTTTGAAATATACACTTGTGAAGGTGCTAATTTGACAAAATATTCAAAGTATCCTGAGGAGAAAGAGGTGCTGATTCCTCCATATGAGACGTTTAAAGTTACTGCTGTCAAAAACAGAACAAATCAGCCAGATCTCTGGTGTGAGACTGTGTTTGTGTTGAACAGTACTGGAACAAGAAGTGAACTGAGCTGTGCATTGTTTAACAGTGGAAACCATGCTTCGTTCTTTCATGTTTTACTCATTTTGCAGGTTGTATTTTGTGTTTACCTGCTAACGAATTAACTTGTACAATTTGCATGTTTCTCGTTGTTTCTGAACTTTGTATTTATTTCTATCTCTACATTTTGATACTATGTAATAATGGGAAAAAATAAGCTTTTCTAAATTAATCAAATCTTTTTTTTTTCTTAAAGTCCCCATGAAATCAAAATTGAACCTATGTTAGCGCATATTACTAGTCTTGTGGTGAACAATTAATCCATGCAAGTAAAAATATATTTAAAAAATGTTTTACCTTGGTAATCTTTAATCAAAATCTGAAAAGTTACTTCCGGTCTGGAACGGTTTCTTTTTCTGATGACGTAGGTTTCACAACTTGGGTGGGGAAACGCTTAACCACTCCCCTCAAACCGTTAGTTTGCTATGAGCGAGAGATGGAGAGGAGGAGCGCTAGAGTAAAACCCTGCCCTCTGTTCAATATTCCGTTTCACTTGGAAATACGTCACAGCACTGGAGAAAAATCGTTTGCAACTTCCGGTTCACGGGGACTTTAATTTGTGTAAATCAACTTTGGGTTCAGCAAATTTTTTTTAGATTAATTTTGCACATGGTCATTGTATATTTAGTTTGAATGTTTAAAACAATCTTTGATTCTAATAAATAAAAAACAAGACAAATTAAAATATTGTGTTAAAACACCATTGATTTATATTACTAGTAAAAACAAACTCACAAAAAAAACCGTACACACAAAATTATATTACATAAAAAAAAATTACATTTAAGAGGGGCGTTTGGTTACCCTTTATGAAAAGAAAATATATAAAAAAACGCCGTCGCCATTTAAACGAAAGGCACATCCGATAAAATATTTTTACGTTTTCACCCGCAAGCGTTCTCGTGTAAACAGGGCCTTAAAAACGCAAAAAAGTGAAACCACCCTCCAGAGTGGAAATTTTAGGCTATGTTTACACGGAAACGATACTGAAGAGAAAACGCAAAAGTGGCGTTGCGTCATCACTTTTTATTCTGCGTTTAGACGATTGTTTTGTGTGGGAAATCCGCGTGCAAATGGTGACGCAATGTAGTATGCACTCCAGGCGGCTAGGAGTGCATACTACAACACCACCAAGTCCACGTGCCTGCGTACAACCTTCAATGTCAAGCAGACTTTTGCGTTTTTACCGTTTGCACGGGAACACGGCGGTGGAGTGTTTTTAAGATTTCCACTCTGGAGGGTTGTTTCACTTTTTTGCGTTTTTAAGCCTCAAAAACGCCATCGCCGTTTAAACGAAAGGTACATCCGATAAAATATTTTTACGTTTTCACCTGAAATCGTTCTCGTGTAAACGGGGCCTTAAAAACGCTCCACCGCCGCGTTCCCGTGTAAACGGTAAAAACGCAAAAGTCTGCTTGACATTGAAGGTTGTACGCAGGCACGTGGACTTGGTGTTGTTGTAGTATGCACTCCTAGCCGCCTGAAGTGCATACTACATCGAATTTCACACACTTTTGCGTCACCATTTTTTTTTTTTGCGTCACGTTATCACTGTGAAGCTGCTTTGATACAATCTGTATTGTGAAAAGCGCTATATAAATAAATGTGACTTGACTTGACTTGACCATTTGCACGCGGATTTCCCACACAAAACGCTCGTCTAAACGCAGAATAAAACGTGATGACACAACGCCACTTTTGCGCTTTTTCTTCAGAATCGTTTCCGTGTAAACATAGCCTGAAGCAGCGTTAAAGTTAATGAGATAATTAACTGAATAATTGAGTGAAAATTTAGCAACATTAAAGACACCTGATGTTAACAAAGAATCTCTGAAGAAGAGTCACCATTATGGTAATTAGTGTTTGTTTTAGTTGGGCTCTTGACCATTAAAACATTAACGTTAGATTTTGTTTGGCTAAACAATTAGTTACATATGTATTATGTGTTTGGTTAGGATTAGTGTTGTGGTGTGCGTGTGTATTACACACGCAATAAAGTATGTATCATATGCATGTAAAAAATTTATTTCTGCATATAAATTGCAAGATAAACATAATGCGTGCTATAGAGATGCTTTTTATAACATATAACATGTTCACATGCGTACTGATCCCCCCTGGGGTTTTTTCATAACATTCTCTTGAATTGCCACTTTTTTCCAATATTGAACAGGTGACAATTTACTAATACTGTATATCATAATGTATGTAATTTTATATTCAGTAAAACACTTCATGATATATAGATGTATTGTCACAGTGTCTGGTTTGTGTTTCCCTAGTAACCACTAGAGGTCCTCAGTTTTCACAGTGTCTATGCATTCTCACTACAGTTCCCATGAACCTGTCTGTCCCTAATACAATACAATACAGTCCTTGCATATTGTCCACAGACTTATGTTGTTATTTCGAGCCTGTTTCTAGTGTTTGTTTTTTATGTTTTTAGGATGTTATGTTTTTGACCTTTGCCTGTACTAGGTATGGCCAAATGGAGTGTTTCAAAACATTATTGCTTTCTGATACACTTGACTTGAGTCTAAAATTCTTCATTACTTGAAGCTTCACTCAGATAGAAATTGCAGCACCATCTCCTGGTAAAGTAAATGTAATGCAACAAAGCTGACAACCATAAAATACAAGTAGGCGTACATGTTAATGCCCCGTTTATTATGCGTTTACCAAGGTGATCAAAGCTGAAACAGTGCAGTGAAACTCGTGTATGTAGGTGAATTTTACAGATACTGATTAATTTCACTTTGATAATAAAACATTCAGCTTTATGTTTGTGAGTGTGTGTAATTATTTCTTTAGACAAGTAGGCCTACAATTCTAATGGTTTCTATTAAAATTCCAATAGGAACCATTGGCTTTTACCATTTAAACCACTACATGATTCTTTTTTGTAGCGTGATTTGGAAATATTCCATTAGGATTTAATACCCCCACCAATAGAACCCAACACATATTAGTAGAGACCACTAATTCCCATTACAACCAATACAGTTCCCATGAAAACCATTAAATTGAATATAATTTCTGTAATTGTTTCCATGACGATAGAAACCATTACATTACCGCTTCTTTCCTGTGGGAACCAGAACTCTATTGTTAACATGGTGGGACTGATATTTTTGAATGTTGAAAATGATGTGCTTGTGAAACTGGTTGTACTTGTATAAGACGGTTTTTGAAGTTTTTGGCTTTCCCCATATCAGTCACTACATATGTAAAAATATTTGTATGCAGAAATGACAAAGAACTAACCTTATTCGGGGAAATGAGTTAAAAGTGTTCCCAAACTTGGGGATGACTTCTCTCGCTGACTCCATCACAGCAAGGAACTGAGGCAACATAAGACAAAGATCTGACAAAGACAGCAAACAAGAGGAGACTTAAATGGGGAACAAATCAAGAGGGAACAGGTGGAAGAACTCAAACACTAATCAGGTAACAAGGGGGAGGGATCAAACAATAACTAAAGCACATGGCCCAACATAACAAAGGCTACGTTCACACTGCAGGCTGAAACGACCTAATTCCGATTTTTTCATGACAGTCTGAACGACACAGATCCGACACAGATCCGATTTTTTCAAATGCGACCCAGGCCACTTGGGTATGTGGTCCAAATCCGATATGTATCCGATCTTTTGAAATGCGACTTCAATCTGAACGGCCAGGTCACATATATCCGACCCGCACGTCATTGCACGCTCCTGTAGCTAGCCAATTCACTCCAACTCCAACGCGTTTCTGCACTGTTATGGGCCGCTGCAGACGTGTCTCTACCCCAGTGTTGTGCCTGAACGCGTTCAATGAACGATAGTGCATAAACGCGTTCATATACTGTATTACTGCCTGATGAACATTACTGTGAACACGTTCATTCCGGTGTCTGTGAACATGCGCTCTCTGTCAGTATAACTTGGGTGGGTGCCAGATTCCTATAGAGCCTTCCAGACAAAAACCTGGCTAAAACACATGTATACATGCCTTAAAATGTAGCGAAAAAACACCCAATCTGGCAACACCAGCCACCAGTGTCGCACCGCGGCCGCCGGTGACAAAGCAAGGAGCGCCGAGGATGCGCACTATCAATTAAACGGGTTTTATGACGAGGTCGGTGAGGATCGGAAAAATCTTACATTTATGTGCAAACTTTGCCTATCGATAAAATAGTAATAAAATCGTTGTCTGTGCTTGTATATGGGCTGTGGCAATAATAATAATAAAACAAAAGCTCGCAACATATGAAAAAAGAACTATTCCGCCAAAAACAAGTGACGTCGTTGACCGTTGATTAATCTTCTGCGCATGCGGGTCACTTCTGGATCATTTCACGTTCACACAGGAGATCACAAAAGGTCGCATTTAATTGGAAATGTGAACGACCTTGCAAAAAAATCGAATTTTTTTCAAAAAATCGGAATTGAGCATTAAGCCCTGCAGTGTGAACGTAGCCAAAGACACCCATGTGCAATACAAGACAGGAAAGACACGTGACACCTCATTGGTTCTTGCAGATGTTCAAATAACACATGATAATGAACCTCATTGGTTCTTGTAGAAGCTCAAATGTGTTGCATAACACGTGAATAAACCTCATTGGTTCTTGCGAAAGCTCAAATGTGCTGTGTAACACATGAGAATGAACCTCATTGGTTCTTGAAGAAGCTCAAACATGCTGTGCAACCAACCCGATCTCATGTCAATTTGTACGAATTTTACGAGTTGGCTAATTCGGAACAATTCCTACGACCTTACTTGTACGAATTAGTACGATTTTTGCTAAATCGTATGAATTCATACGAATGACCTACCCCTGACCCTGCCCCTACCCAGACAGCAAACTGACTTTGAATCAACGTGGAAACGACGTCTCTCATGACATTGAAACAGCGTTGATTTTGCTCATCGAATTAACGTTGAACCAACGTCAGACGCGGCATTCTTCAAAGCTAAATGAAAATCGAAAATTGGTTTGCTTTCATAACGTTGAAACAACGCGTTGATTTCAAGTTGATTTTCCGTTAGTTTTGAAAGAATGACGCGCCTGACGTTGGTTCAACGTTAATTCGATGAGCAAAACAACGTTGTTTCGATGTCATATTTCCACGTTGATTCAATGTCAGTTTGCTATCTGGGTAAACCTTCGTACGAGTGAGGTCAAACGAATTTTTACGATTTAGCCACATTTGAATAACCCGTACAAATTTGTACGAATTCGTCGCGAGATATCGTTGACGCAACACGTGAGAATGAACCTCATTGGTTCTTGCTGAAGCCCAAACGTGCTGCGTAACATGAGAATAAACCTCATTGCTTCTAAACTGAACACACATCAGTAAACTGTATCCAGTGTAGACGGAGTCAGTGATTATAATGTGTTTATTTGCTTTTGACGCGACACACATTCAGTGTAACGTCAGCCGTAGAGCGTTTAACTCCAGTGGGCGGGGCCTGCGATGTGATGCTGTTAAACCAGCCCGTTCTCATCCTTTAACGTCATCTAGAACGCTATATGCAAAAACGGCGCTATACTACGCACATGGCACCCTTTATCGTTAATATAACACGCGAACCCAAGACGTTATAAATCCTTTAGCATGAATATGACACGCACACCCTATCCCACACCTAAACTTAACCCTCACAGCGCGTGTTACATTAACGATAACGGGTGCCATGTGCGTAGTATAGCGCCATTTTGTCATATAGCGTTCTATATGACGTTAAAGGATGAGAATGCGTTGGTTAAACTATTCGTCAATGTCTTGCTCTGGAGGCAGTCATTTGCAAATTTATTTGTCACAGATCCCGCAGTATCAAAACGAGCCAATGCTTTAATGTTTAAAGGGTTAGTTCACCCAAAAATGAAAATTAAGTCATTAATTACTCACCCCCATGCTGTACCAACCCCGTAAGACCTTCGTTCATCTTCGGAACACAAATAAAGATATTTTTGATTGAATCTGAGGGCTGTATCACTCTTCCATAGACAGCCTGAGGGACTGCCTCTTGACGGCCCAGAAAGTCATTAAAAGAAAAGGTTTAAATATTCCATGTGCCTACAGTGGCTCAACTATAACTTTATCAAGCGACGAGACTACTTTTTGTGCGAAAAAAAAACGTAAATAACGACTTTATTCGACTTTCCATTACTTCCTTATGGGCGCATGCGCGAGAACTGAGACGAGACCGTTCTTCTTCGACTACTTTTTGTTACCGGCTGCTCACCGCTTAGGAGTTTTACCGCCCCCTACCGTATAAGATGACGTACTGATATAGCCGGAGGCGCAAAACGTTCTGTTTACAAGCAGTACGTCATCTTATACGGTAGGGGGCGGTAAAACTCCTAAGCGGTGAGCAGCCGGTAACAAAAAGTAGTCGAAGAAGAACGGTCTCGTCTCAGTTCTCGCGCATGCGCCCATAAGGAAGTAATGGAAAGTCGAATAAAGTCGTTATTTACGTTTTTTTTTTCGCACAAAAAGTAGTCTCGTCGCTTGATAAAGTTATAGTTGAGCCACTGTAGGCACATGGAATATTTAAACCTTTTCTTTTAATGACTTTCTGGGCCGTCAAGAGGCAGTCCCTCAGGCTGTCTATGGAAGAGTGATACAGCCCTCAGATTCAATCAAAAATATCTTTATTTGTGTTCCGAAGATGAACGAAGGTCTTACGGGGTTGGTACAGCATAGGGGGTGAGTAATTAATGACTTAATTTTCATTTTTGGGTGAACAAACCCTTTAATGAGGACTTAATATTTTAAGCTATAAAACTTGCAGATTGTTTTAATGCTCTTTGACATCTTGTATGTCAAAAGATCAAGGCAAATTGAATTGATCATTTCATAACCCCTTTAAATATCTCCAAAATAGGAGTAAATGTATAAATTCTATGTAGAACAATTTTCTTTAATACAAAATGTGTTGCCATTTAGTGCACTGCTGAATGCAGTGCCATCAACTATAGACAAAAAACGTAAATTTGTTTTATAATGCAAAAGTCATTATTTATTCCTTACAGATGACGCATTAAAAAAACACACATCTGCATATTCAAACTGAATCACATAACTTTTTTTCACTTTAACTCTGACAAAGCTTCAGCACATTTCTCACGAAAACCCCATGTCTGTGTCACAGTGCACCGAAAGAAAACCACAAAAGTTTGCTTATTGTCATATCAAAACCTACTGGAGGAGGTGTCATGTCTTCTTCTTAGCATGCAATTATGACTACAACAACTTGAATTAAAATAAAACTGTTTGCTGAAGTTTTGAGCAGTATTAAACAGGGATTCAATTGTTTCTGCTGTGCACATATTGAGTCACATTTTTAGTTCCCTGCCCCATTCCTCACACACTGTAAAAAATATTTTCATTATTTGTAATCACAACATTTTTTCTTTTGTCAAATCAACTTAAATCATGTATGTAGTTCATATAACATAATATTTTGAGTTTCTGATGATTAAATCATTGTATTAACTCAATTTTCCATTTCCATGAACTTAAAATTTAAAGGCAAACAGGTTACTTCATTTTTGAAGTTAAACCAACGATATTTTTTTTACAGCGCAAAGCATTATGGGAAGTGCATTTTTAAAGCTAAATATAGCCTGATATCAACGCAGTTTACCTTGTTTCTGTTATGAACATTCAATTAATATTCTAAATTATTCACAACCAGGGTGCATGTCATGTGTTTGTCTCCGTAATTGCTGCTGTATTCACTATTCACTGTATTCGGTAGATGTATCTTAAAAAAAAAAAAAAAAAAAAAAAAAAAAAAAACATTATTTAGCGTTGTTCTTAATATGAATGAACTGAATGATGCACATTTCCATGATGATAATCTGTTGTCAACCCTGCTTTCTGCTGGCACTGACATGACAGGAACTAGTTTGCCCTTGTTAACCACACACACACACACACACACCAGACTTTCACAGGTGTTGCATTATGGAGAGTTAAACTATTCACATGAACTGTTGCACAGTTGTTCAGACATTTTCAGCTGTATAAAAAAGCCACCATCTCTTGGTTTAAACAGTTGTCGTCTGTTGGCTGAGGGACTGACTTTTCTGATCTTTTCCTCTCTTCATTGAGCTCCCAAAAATAGACCATAGAAAATTCTCAGGTAATTTTAGGTGACATTTTGGCATTGGAGTAACGGATTTAGTGAAACTCTTTTGTCTTTCATCGTCTGTTCTTCACTAGATCTACTAGATCATCTGAGGGATTTGACTGAATCAAGATGCTGCTGATCATTGAAGCTCTTCTTCTCATTTTAGCTGCTCTAGGACAGGTAAGCTTATGTTCTAGTCTGAATATTACAGATGTGAATATACTGATGATTATAATTTCTGTTTGGGGCAGGATAACAGCGCTGCTGCAGGACAGATATTTCCATTGGATATGGCACCGAATTCAGTTGATGATCAATATGTCGGTTGTAGAGATAAAATGGCAAATCTGGTGAAGACAAAATATCTGGAGGACGAAAGGTCTGACTCTGAATCCGAATTTACAATAGCTTGGAAAGATGCTGAAAAGAAATACAAGCCACCAGGGGATAACTTGACAAAGAATCACTCAATTGCTATTTATGTGTACACAAGCTCCATTTTAAAGCTATATAAGCATTTCAATGACGCTGTTCGTGATGACAAGAAAAAGTACAAAAACAAAACATTCGAATGGTATTCACTTCACTTTTTGTTAACAGACGCGATACAGATTCTGAAGAAAACACAAAAAGGATGCCATTCAACTTATCGTGGTACAAATGTTGAATTTAACAAGAAAGTTCTAGGCAATGAAGTTCGTTTCGGCTCATTTGCTTCCTCCTCTTTGAGTCGTGACAGAACAAGGTTTTTTGGAAATAAATCTTGTTTTGTAATCAACACTTGTGAAGGTGCTGCTCTGACAAAATATTCTAAGCTTGCTCATGAGAAAGAGGTGCTGATTCCTCCTTATGAGAAGTTTAAAGTCACTGCTGTCAAGACAAGAAGAGTTCAGAAAGATCTCAGGTGTGAAACTGTGTTCACTTTGAAAAGCACCGGGACAAGAAGTGACCTGAACTGTGCAGTGGCATTTAATAAACCATAAAAAAGTACTACACTAATAGTACTATTCTAAATGTCATAATCATTTGTTAAAAAAAAAAAACAAGTATTCATTACTTCAATGAGCTCAATATCATCATCTTCTTTCTTTAATTATTACATTGTTTCACAAGTGTGATTTTGTATATTTTCATTTCTGAATCACATAACTTAGAGAGTTACCTAAAAGCTCAATGTGGACTCGTGCATTTTCTGTAAAGCTGCTCTGAAATGACGTGCGTTGTGAAAAAAGCACGATACAAATAAATGTGAATTGAATTACTATGAATCATACTGAAAGTTCTGAACAAAGGGCTTTACCATGTGCATCAGCTCCAAGATCGCTATTGTTTAGTTCATTAATACTTTGTCAGAAAACACAATGAACATAATTGCAACTAAATGAAATAAAGTTATTTTTAAGTTGCCTCAAAGAGATTTAATGTGTCTCTAATTCATTTCTCCATTTAGAATTGCATTTTTTGCATCACATTACTAATACATTTGTAATGCTTTCTATATAACTGTCAGCAATAGCATATTAACTGAAAGACTTTCTATGTGCAATGCAGCTTGCAGCAATATTTTCAATAATTTAATACACTAAAAAGTTTTTGCTTCTTGTTGAATTTAATTGGTTTCAACTAATTTTGAATTTTTTGTTTATTATTTAAATTTAAGTTTTTTTTTGGTTTTTTTTTTTTTTTACTTTAGTGATGTTGGAGTTTTTGTGGTTGTTTTGATGTGTTTGTCATTACTAACACCATGTCCATGACGCTTTATGAAATGAGCAATAGCTGCTAAAACCGGTGAAATTATGAGTCTCCTCTTAAGTCTTCATCCCTTTACATTCAGTCAAAAACTTAATTTCAGTTCAAAATCATTTATTTCAACAAAATATAATTTGTTGAAATGGAATTATTACTGTATATTCAATGGGTGAAAATTTAATTAATTTAAATGAATTAAAAAATAAGCTTGTGAAATATATGCAAGACAATGACACATCTTAAGCAGAGAAAAACTCGGCGTTTGTCTTGCATGAAACCACAGGTCTTCACAAGGGTGGAATTATCAGAAGGCTTCATGCTTCATGATTAATTTCTCTCTATAGTGCATGAAACCACAGGCCACAAGTGACAATCAGGTGATCTAAACCATTTAGATGACAGATGCATCACACACACACACGTTAGTTGTTGTTGTCTGCTTGTCAATGACTTTTCTGATCTCCTCTTGTAGTTGCTCCTGAAAAACAATGAAAAGAAACAGACAGAACCTGTTAAAAAGAGACAGTGTTTTCAGGTGAGTTTAGGGTTAAAGGGATACTCCACCGTTTTTTTCCCTTCACTAAGACGAGTTAATATACCTCTCTCATCTTAGTGCGAGCACTTAATCGCTTTGGGGCGTAAGACACTTCGATAGCACTTAACTTAGCCCAGTTCATTCAATAGGATCCAAGCAGAGAAGCGACCAAACACCTCCACGTTTTCCCAGTTACACGAGTGGTGTAACTCGACCAAGAATGGTGACATTAAATAAAACATTGCACTTTTCTAATTCTAAGTATGTAAAGTGGATAACTACAATGTAATGCAACTTACTGCCGGTCTGCTACAACCGCATCCGGTAACACTTGAGAATACGGTTCCTTCGTTAATGAATAACTACACAAGAACTAATGAGTAACACAATATTAACAATCTAGTAACTATTATTAACTAACAAGAAACTCTGATTAACGAACTAGTAAGTAATAGCGCACAGACGAAAGTGGTAGTTCACTATTAAGTAATCAATGACTACTATTTTTTTAATACTTGCCAGAGAATTACTGAAAAAGTTTATTAACAATCTAGTCACTACTATTAACTAAAAGAAATTCGTATTAACGAATTAGAAAGTAATAGCTCAGAGATGAAAGTGTTACTAGATACTTCTGCGGGAATTGCTAATTATTTGGATTCGTATTATAAAGTGAAGATCATTGGAACTAACTAGTAATTACTCAAGTGTTACTACATGATCTAGTCATGATTTGTGCAAACGTTTGAGATTTTTGGTGAACTTTAGTAACTTTTAGAAAATGTCTTTAGTAACACTTGAGTAATTACTAGTTAGTCCCAATGATCTTCACTTTATAATACGGATCCAAATAATTAGTAATTAATAGCTCATAGATGAAAGTGTTACTAGATACTTCTGCGGGAATTACTAATTATTTGGATTCGTATTATAAAGTGAAGATCATTGGAACTAACTAGTAATTACTCAAGTGTTACTACATGATCTAGTCATGATTTGTGCAAACGTTTGAGATTTTTGGTGAACTTTAGTAACTTTTAGAAAATGTCTTTAGTAACACTTGAGTAATTACTAGTTAGTTCCAACGATCTTCACTTTATAATACGGATCCGAATAATTAGTAATTCCCACAGAAGTATCTAGTATCTAGTATAGTGTAACTGATGTATAGATTAATATCCCAGATAGCAAACTGACATTGAATCAACGTGGAAATATGACATCGAAACAACGTTGATCTGACATTGTTTTGCTCATCGAATTAACGTTGAACCAACGTCAGACGCGTCATTCTTTCAAAACTAACGGAAAATCAACTTGAAATCAACGCGTTGTTTCAACGTTATGAAAGCAAACCAATTTTCGATTTTCATTTAGCTTTGAAGAATGCCGCGTCTGACGTTGGTTCAACGTTAATTCGATGAGCAAAATCAACGTTGTTTCAATGTCACGAGAGACGTCGTTTCCACGTTGATTCAATGTCAGTTTGCTGTCTGGGATCTTGCCTTCATGTTCTTCTAGATCTTTTTTTATTTAGTTTAGTTTAGTTTTCAGATCATTGTTCTTTTCTCATTTTTGTATTGTGATGACATTGAACATATTGTTAACTGATGAAGATGTTTTTCTTAATTTGCGGATGTTTTTTTGTATTTGCATGCGTTTTTACATCTGCACACGTTTTTTTGTATTTGCATGCGTCTTCATCAGGTTGCAGCGCGGTGAGCTCTCTCGGCCACCGTACAATGGGGTCTCGCGAAGTTTAAAGCCAAAAGCGGCTCTTTTTTCAAAATAAACTTGCATTCTAAACTACTTAAAACAATATTCAAGGCTGCATCAAAAGGTAGCTTCGCGTCTGCTGCCATGTTGAATCCAAAGAAATAAACAAACTGCTTTGGTGTGTCGCATAGATGTCGTCATCGTCTTGCTGCTCCCTCCCCGTTCTGTGATTGGTTCCCTAAATGAGGCCAAAATCTAGACCATGGTATCCATGCTGCCTTTCAGCGGGAAGGCAGACTATCTGATGTTGCGATCCTTCTTAAATCTTTAAGTCTTTTGCCGCGACACACATCCAGTGTAACGTCAGCCGTTAAATGTCTGAACGCCAGTGAGCGTCCTGTGCAGAGCAGTCTCATCCCAAGACATCATACAACTGACGCTTTTGACCATACGTCAACATCCGCCGTTTTAGGGTACCCTTTAACGTCGGTTAGATGACGTTATCGAATCCTAAACCTACCCCGTCACGTAACCGACGTTATCGGTAAAGCGTCAGTTGGATGACGCCCCAGGATCGTCATCTAACCGACGTTTAAGGCGGATGTTGACGTTTGGTCAGTTATATGACGTCTTGGGATGAGACTGTGTTATCCTGTGATGTGATGCTGTTAAACTATTCGTCGATGCCTTGCTCTGGAGGCAGTCATTTGCAAATGTATTTGCCCGTGTGACGTCACAGATCCGGCAATATTATAATGAGCCGTTTTTGGGAGCTTGATTAAATACATGCTTTGATGTTTAATGAGGAGGATGTTTTAAGTTATGGAACTTGCAGGATGTTTTAATGGTAATATATATCTGAAGTGAGTAACTGCTTGCAGCAAATACAGAGACAGATGTTGCATCTCCTGTTGTGAATTAATCAGAACGATAGTTGTGAATTTTCATAATAGTGCTGAATAATAACAGAAACAGGGTAAACTGTAAAATCTTGATTTTATTTTAATTCAAGTTGTCAGACGCCATAATTGCATGCTAAGAAGAAAAGACACAGCGCCGACAGTAGGTTTTGTTTGTGTGATGATAACCAACCTTTTGTGGTTTTGTTTCTCTGTTCTCTGTGGTAAGACACTTAAAATGAGAATGGTGTCGGAGTTAAAGCGAAAAAAGTTTGAATATGCAGATGTGTGTTTCTTAATGCGTTATCTGTAAGGAATGAATACTGACTTTAAACAGCAATATCAAACAACAATTTAAACTTTTTGACCAGTTGATGGATGAATATTCAGAAGTGCTCTTAAAGGTATGTAGCAACACATGTTGTATTAATAGCAGTTAAAGAATTCTCCATCTTTCTCAAATCCAATCCCTCTTTCTCTTTTTGCTATGGCGAGGGATTAAAGTAAAGCAGAAATCTGCAGAAAAACATGCACATTTCAATGATGATAATCTGTCAACCCTGCTTTCTGCTGACTCTGACATGACAGGAACGAGTTTCCCTTGTTAACCACACTCACACACCAGACTTTCACAGGTGTTGCATTATGGAGAGTTAAACTATTCACATGAACTGTTGCACAGTTGATATGTTCAAGCAATCTCCTTCATTGTATTAACTCACTTTTTCCAGTTCAATCAACTTAAAATTTTAAGGCAACCCAGGTTACTTATCTTTTTTAAGTTAAACCAACAATATTTTTTTTTTACAGTCGACTAGGGATTTGACTGAATCAAGATGCTACTGATCATTGAAGCTTCATATGAGTTGATTAATGAGTTGTTGTTTTTTACACTGTAAAAAAATATTGATGGTTTAACTTAAAAAAGTAAGTAGCCTGGTTGCCTTAAAATTTTACGTTGATTGAACTGGAAAAAGTAAGTTAATACAATGAAGGAGATTAATTTAACCATCAGAAACTCAATCTGAACTAAATAAATTATTTAAGTTGATTTGACAAAAGAAAAAATGTTGTGATTACTACACTGTAAAAAAATATTGTTGGTTTCACTTAAAAAAAGTAAGTAGCCTGGGTTGCCTTAAAATTTTAAGTTGATTGAACTGAAAAAAGTGAGTTAATGCAATGAAGGAGATTAATTTAACCATCAGAAACTCAAAATAATAAGTTATCTCAACTAAATAAATTATTATAAAGTTGATTTGACAAAAGAAAATATGTTGTGATAACAAATCTTGAAAATATTTTTTACAGTGTAGACTTAGTTATATTTGAAAGTGGGAAGGTATGTTTCAATTAACAATTTCATAAAAATTCACCAGAAGATCAGGGTAAAAAAAAAAAAGGCAATCATCTTGGACAGACAGGAACTCAAAGAGTTTGACCAATGTGAAACTCCTACTCTTCACAACCCACACACATTTTCGGTATTATAAAAAAGGCACCTTCCTCATCTCTTAGTCTGAAGAGTCATTGTCTTCTGGCTGAGAGCGAAAGGCTTTTCTAATCTTCACTTGACGCTGCTCTTGAAAAAAAGAACAAAAAGCTAATTCAGAATCAGACACAAAAGTACTTTCAGGTAAGTCTGTAGTTCCATCAGTGTAATAATAATCACAGGTTTAAGTGATTGTTTCAAAATCTGCTGTCAACAAAACAAACGTTAATAGTAATTTAAACCTGTATTGTGTAAGAAGTTGGGGTTAATTGTGCCTAATCTATATTCTTGTACATTGTATTTCCAGTCATATATTTATTTATTGAGATGCTATTGTGTTTCTGGTTGTCTTTCATCATCTGTTCTTCACTAGATCTACCTGATCATCTGAGGGATTTGACTGAATCAAGATGCTGCTGATCATTGAAGCTCTTCTTCTCATTTTAGCTGCTCTAGGACAGGTACGCTCGTGTTCTAGTATTAATATTACAGACATGAATACTGATGATGTGATCATTATGATTCACGTTTCTGCAGGATAGCAGCGCTACTGCAGGACAGATATTTCCATTGGATATGGCACCGGATTCAGTTGATGATCAATATGCCGGTTGTAGAGATAAAATGGCGAATCTGGTGAAGACAAAACTTCTAAATAATGAACTCAAAAATTCACCTGGTTTTAAAACGGCTTGGGGAAAAGGGGTAGAGTTTCCCAAGAGCAAAAATAATAATTTGACAAAGAATCATGAAATTGCCATTTTTGTGTACAGTGATAGTCTTGTATACGAGCACTTCAATCGTGACACTCGTCGTGATAAAAACCAGTACAAACACGGCAACTACAAATGGTATTCACTTTACTTTCTATTGACAGAAGCGATACGGATTCTGACGAAAACACAAAATCAATGCATGTTAACATATCGTCGTACAAATGTTGAATTTACCAAGAATGTTCTGAACAAAGAGGTTCGATTCGGCTCATTTGCTTCCTCCTCTTTGAGTCGTGACATAACACGTTTTGGAAATGTATCTTGTTTTGAAATCAACACTTGTGAAGGTGCTGATCTGACAAAATATTCTAAGCTTCCTCGTGAGAAAGAGGTGCTGATTCCTCCATATGAGAAGTTTAAAGTCACTGCTGTCAAGACAAGAAGAGATCAGCAAGATCTCTGGTGTGAGACTGTGTTCACTTTGAAAAGCACCGGCACAAGAAGTGACCTGAACTGTGCTCTATTCAAGAAGCCATCCAAGACCAAAACAAAGTCTTATGTGCTGAACAACGTGCTTTGAATGTACATGACATGATTATGTACATCATCTACAACATTTGTTTTAGTTCAATGATTATTGGTCTGAAAACAAAATTTGTTTAATTTCAACAAAATGAAATAAAGTTATTTTTAAGAGACCCAATTCAGTGGCGTCAAGGTGATTTTGTGTCTCTAATTCATTTCTTCATCAGTACATCATATCACTGAATATTTGTAGTGCTTTACTTCATATAACTGTCAGCAATAGCTTATTGACAGAGCGAGTTTCTAATTGGAATGTAGCAATATTTCAATATTCAATATTTTCAATAAGACTGAAGCAACAGGACCATGCCTTAGTCCTTATTTGATTATTTTTAATTCAATTTAATTCAACCACAGTATACGATCACTCCCCAACCTTCAAAATGGAGATCTGGCTAAATGAGGGCAATATCAGTATCAGTTATATCGATACCGCTCAGCTTACTGGACGAGGACCACCACCAAATCATACAAATTCGACGAATGATTAAAAAGTGGCTAATTTCTAACAATACATACGACCTCACTCGTACGAATTTTTGCTAAATCGTACATATTTTACAAATTGGCCAATTCGTATGAATTCGTACAAATGACCTACCCCTTACCCCGCCCCTAAACCTACCCATCACATGGGTTTAGACAAATCGTACGAATTCATACGAGTGAGGTCGTACAAATTAGTACGAATTAGACACTTTTTAATCATTCGTCGAATTCGTACGAATTGGTCGTGAGATAGCGTAGGATAGCATTGAGCTGCAATTGTTTCTTATGAACTCTGCAAGACCATCGGCAGTGCTTGATGAAACAGAATGGTCAATGGTGTTTACTAGGGCTGGGTAATAAATATCGATTTCTCTATATTAATCGATTCTCATTTTTACGAACCGATATCGATTCTTAAATCTCAAAAATCGATTAGTCGTCCTGTTTCATTTTAATGAATGGGACATTGTATCGCGGCTGCGCGCATCCAAAAAATCGCAATAATCTTTGTCCTTTGTTACTATTGATATGAAACAAAGTCTCAAATTTCAAATTACGTCCATTTTCTTTAGAAATTCAAAAACATAAATGACGTTTTGGCGCTGTGGCGTGAGATCGCTCTGGCGCAGCCGCGCAGCTCAAGAGAAGCAGCAGCACTGACTGATCTCTCTTTCGGGTTGATAATACCAGTCACAGCGCGAAATAAACATGAATGAGCATCTGAAAGTGTGTTAAAAGATAGAGTACAGCGTATCCAAATCCGTATCATGCCACATTGATTCGCTCAATCAGAGTTTCAACCGTGGAAAGACGTCAGTTAAACAGCTTGTAATCAATGTCATGTATATCGTCATATTTACCTCAGAAAACCCACATAAACTCGTTAGTCATCTAGAAAAAATAACTCTAGAGAGGAGCATTTTGCTAAATATATACACCATTACATATAAAGCTTGCGAATCGAAATCGAATCGAATTGTGAAATTTGTCTCAATACCCAGCCCTAGTGTTTACGTCCCATAAAACGGGCACTGGCTCTGCCTCCGGCTCTGGAAAAACAATTCATTGTTGCAGCTCAGGTCCGTCCATTAATCATAAAAAATATGACTTTTGATTTTAATAATGTAATGATAAATGTTGAAATGAACTAAGATTAAAACATTTTATTAAAATATCAAATGTACATACTTTTGTTTTGTTTTCTTATATGTATGTTTCTCAGAAATGCACCTAAAGGGCTCATGTACAGATTAATGACAATTACCTCAGTCGTTAAAGAGAAAAAATCGTTAATAAAACAGAGAATTAAAACAATCTCAGGTGAAGTGCAAGTTATATGATGATGAGTTTATACAGGTGAGTGTGTTAGAAGAGGTGAAATCTTGACTTAATTGAGATGATTTAAACTTAACTTTAATTGTAGGACATTCTTCCTTCTCAGACTTCACACTGCATATTTCAATTAATTTAATAGTTTTCAAAGATGTATAATGTGTATTTCTTAGTTATGATGGACAATAGAATTAAAGAGGACAATTATTAGAAGAAAACCAAACTGTAAATTGAGATCAGTAAATCAGAACTCAGTGCTTTCAAACATCTGAGGTTTATTCTGGGTTTCTCTCAATCATCTTTACATCCATTTGAGAGAGAAAGAAAGAAAGAAAGGAAGAAAGAAAGAAAGAAAACAGAGTGAAAATGATGTGAAAACAAAAACTAAACTGCTTCATTCAAAACTGCAGGTATTTACTAAGGTAAAGATGCCAGTCCAGCGCACACATGTCACATGTTTAAGGCGTTTCCATCATCAGCTACTTGCTCCTGTGGTTTATTATGCAGCAGTTTATAATCTAGATACTTCAAGATGCCAACAAACCTTCACGATACCCTGAAATACACATGTAGAAAGTGCCGAGAAGAGTGTTTGCGTGTATGTATGGCACATTATGATAGGAATCATCAGTCTGTCTGGATGTAGTGAGAGTTCTCTCAATCTTTGTCTGATCCGCAACATGATTATTAATCGTGTACATTTCATTTAGAAAATTCGATTAGAATTTGAATACATCCGTATGCATTTTTACAATATGTGACCCTGGACCACAAAACCAGTCATAAGACAAGGGTCAATATTTGGCCAAGATAGCTACAACTATTTGAAAGTCTACAAAAAAAAAATTGTTAACATTGAGGAAATCGCCTTTAAAGGGATAGTTCACTTTGAAATGAATTGTTGGTTTGTTTTAGCTTACCTCAAGGGCATCCAAGATGTAGTCTTTGCTTCCACAGTATGTTTTTAGGTCAAACTGTTCTTTGGTCACCACCTCAAAGAAGTCCAAATTAAACATGATTAAATGACTGGTAACAAGAGGTAAAAACAATATAAATACTGTTCGTTTTCTCACACAAACCGCTCGTTTCGTGTCTTAGGCCATCAATGTGTACTTACATTTACGAGTCGTTAAATCACGTTTAATCTGGACTTCTCTGTGCATGCTCTTTGAGGTGGTGACCATAGACCTCCATTATATGACTGTGTCAGACAAGAACGGTTTGACCTAAACACATAAATACTGCGGAAACAAAGACACCTACATCTTGGATGCCCTTGAGGTAAGCTAAAACACACCAAAAATTAATTTCAAAGTGAACTATCCCTTTAAAGTTGTCCATTCATGTTCACAATTGTGCTGCATTCACTCGCAAAATACATTTTTATATATACGTATATTCACAGTAGGAAATTTACAACATATCTTCATGGAACATCATTACTTAAAGGGACAATGTGTAAGATTGAGGACATATTATGAATACAATTCTTTTAGATTTTAGATAATAAAATACTTAAACTACACATTGTCCCATTAATATCGTAATGATTTTAGGCATAGAAGAAAAATCTATCATTTTGACCCATACAATGTATTATTGGCTTTTACCGACTTATGACTGGTTTTGTGATGCAGCTGATCCTCATGTAGTGTGTGTCTCTCAGAACTCGTCGTCTGAGCTGAGCAGAAGTGTTTTCTCGTTACTGCAGCTGTCGGAGCGTCTCACTGGTTCTCCTCGGCTCTGCTGTGTGTACTGCTGATACGCCGGAGAGAAGTTATGGATGGCGTCCTGCAACATGTCTCCTGGGTTCATGGTCTCCTTCAGACTGCTGGAGATGCTCATGGGAGCACAGCGACCTGACACACAGAGAAACAAATCAGATAACACTTGATCATGCTACTCGTCTGCAGTATATAATACACTCCTGCACTGTTATGAACAAACGTTCTTACAGTGACATTAATATAATGTTTCTTCAAAACATTCACAAAAAAAACATCATTTATATGATTTTTTTCCCCTGATATATTTTATTTAACATATTTTAAATCTATCTACTTGTTTCGTAATGTCCAGAGAACATTTAAAAGTAACTTTCTAATAATGTTTGAAGAATGACGGAATGGAACGTTCCATGTTCTAGACTGTTCTATTGTGAAGAATGGCAGAAACTTTGCTTGTGTTCCTTGTTTTAAGTCACTTTGGATAAAAGCATCTGGTAAATTAATAGATGTGAATGTAAACTGTGTATCCCACAATGCAAAGCCCTTGAGTTTAGTTCCAAGTGCGGAGCATGAAAAGTCAATTATGTCAGCTACAACATTTACTAATTTCACTCATTATTTGGTCAAATATATATATATATATATATATATATATATATATATATATATATGAAGAGTTCAGATGCAAAAGCCTCTAAATGCAATTTTCTTCTTTAATGATGATTTATGTCAAGCTTGTATATTTAAGTTCAGTGATTTCACTTAAATGGCAATGATAATTACCTATTAATTGTTATTTAAGTGAAATTACTGAACTTAAATATACAAGTTTGACAAAAATTATCATTAAAGAAGAAAATTTCAAATGGCATTTAGAGGCTTTTGCATCTGAACTCTTCATATATATATTTTTTTTATACAGAATGTGAACTTTGAGTCTAAAAAATATGCTATGTAAAACCACATATTACAAATTTTTTGGTAAGTTTATTGTAAAATTGAACATGTTTTACTACTTTTAGACTCTTACACTATTGAACATTTAATCTGCAAATGAACAAATGAGTTCATCAGTATTTAACATTCTCGGCAGTGCAAAGATGAACAAAATGAGATCACACATCACAAAATGTATGAAAAAAAATAAATAATGAAACTGCTTAAATGAAATGAAAGTTTTCCTCTATAGACATACAGCACACCTATTAAAAGTGAATTATGAATGAAATGAACTAAATAAAAACACACAGAAGCTAAAGTACACATTAAACTTACCATACTGGCCATAGACAGGAACACAACCTGAGAGAGACACAACACAGATGAGGAAGATGATAGAGATCAGTTCAGAAACATAGAGGTATTTCAGCTTTACAAATGTGCTAAATCTTAATGCCATGGTGAAATAAATCATGTTTTATCTGAGAGAATGTAACTCAAATGTATCAGAATCAAATCCGAGTCTAAACTAACCATGAAAACTATATCAAATGTGTCTCTACAAATGTGTGTTTCTGATCATATTAATGTGGTTAGAATGATCATATCACACAGTGTTCATTCACTCCTGTATTTAACACTCTGCTCAGTGATTCATTGATAGGCTGTTCAGTGATTGGCTGCTCAGGGATTGGCTGCTCATTGATTGGCTACTCATTGATTGGCTGCTCATTGGTTGGGTGTTCAGTGATTGGCTGCTCAATGATTGGCTGCTCAGTGATTGGTTGCTCAGAGATTGGCTACTCAGTGATTGGCTGCTCAGTGATTGGCTGCTCAGTGCTGTGGGGTTTGTTACCCTGTATATCGAGTCTCTTGTCCATGTAGACCTTGTACGTGAACGCGTGTCTGAGCGCCAGAGCGGCGAAAAACATCTCGATGCAGATGATGAAGTTCTGGTAACCGGCGGCAACAGTCCCCTCCCCCACGGTGACATCAGGAGAGTTGATGCGAGGAATGGCGCCGCACTTCTCCAGAATCGCCAACAGCATCCCTACATCACACAAAATCATACACTTTCATATAACAAATATTGTTTTTGAATCTTTCATTTTGTTTTAACATCCTTTTTCTTTTTAAAATGTATAAATAGTTGATTGTAAAAAATAATGTATGTCACTAAACAACTGTATATTTTGTTTTAATTTGAGATATTTATATTAGAATTATATTCAATAATATTTACAACTATTTAGTTTAATATCATATAGCAATAACAGCAGCATCCCTAATTCACACAAGGAGAAAATAGTCTTTATTTATCTATTAAAAAATACTATTGCTGGATTAACATGTTCTTTAAAATGTGCATCATTTCCATATTTTAAAATGGTATATTTTTGTTAAGTTGCGTACAAATTGATTGTAAAAAATATTTACAAAACGTGCAATTTTTTACACAACATTTTGTCTTAACATTTAAATTTAAGAGATTATTATTGTGCTTTATTATACATTCAGTGCCTCGTAATGATGGGACTGAAAATGTACAGTAGATACACTGTAAAAAAAATATTTTCCAGATTTGTTATCACAACATTTTTTCTTTTGTCAAATCAACTTTATAATAATTTATTTAGTTGAGATAACTTATTATTTTGAGTTTCTGATGATTAAATTAATCTCCTTCATTGCATTAACTCACTTTTTCCAGTTCAATCAACTTAAAATTTTAAGGAAACCAGGTTACTTACTTTTTTAAGTTAAACCAACAATATTTTTTTACAGTGTAGTTTTAAATCATTTTTCTAAAGTAATAGATGAAAAGTGAATTCAGAGAATTCAGCAGAGAATTCATCCGGATTGACTGAGGAAATCATCAAAAGATCCTGACAAAATTGCAGAATCTTTAAACTTTTCTCCAACGTTGAAGATTTATATTAAAAAATAAAACAACAACACTTGAACTCTTGTTCCCTTTGAAAAACTACACTCAATGCTATGTGAACGCTTGTGTGTTTGACCAGCTGTGAATACACAATACCGTTCAAAAGTTTGTGGTCAATACGATTTTTGATACTGTGATGATGATGATGATGATGATGAAGACTCACTCACCCTGCCAGAAGGAGAGGAAGACGACGGATTTGACCATGAGGAACTTCAGCATGGGGCCGTACGGCTCCAGAAGATCTCGAGTGGCGAAGTAGAAGAGGAACAGAGCGTAGAGAGAGAGACTGACCGACACGTTGTAGACGATCGTCACGTACAAGTAACCGCTGGCCGCGCTGGACACAGACAGAGGATTTAATACAACACTCATTCATGTGTGTGTGTGTGTGTGTGATGACTGAGCTGAAGCACACACTTGAAGTCTCCATCTCTGTATTTCCCGAAGGCCTGCAGGATCACTGTGAACACGGCCATCAGCGGCTTCACCACACAGAACTGCAGCGTCGCCTGAAACACACACACACACACACACACACACACAAGTGTTCAAAACACACTGACTTCTGTCATGTCATCTTCTCAACTTGCCATTTGAAAATAGTCCTTTTCTTAAGGTCATAAAGGTAAAAGGCCTGATTAAAATCAGGCTTTTGTACACATGTAAATAAATCAAAAAATAAATAACTTTTTTTTCGAAGCAGTCTTTTTTTGGGGTTGTTCGGCCCAAATGGACCCGAAGAATTTAAATAAATTTTTAAAAATCACAGCTTCTTCGGAATGGTCCAAAATTTGGTGACTTTGTTGGTATTTGCTATTTGAACACCCCCAAAAATTGGGGACAGGATGTGAATAGTCTAAGTGGTTGTAAAAAAAATAGTCACACTTGGGGTGTTCGGGTCCAAATGGACCCGCATGGAAAATGAATGGGAAATTGGCAATTGGAGGTTTTTTTGTGCGTATAATCTACAAATCAGCCACGATCTTGAAAACAAGCAAAAATTCAGATTATACAGATATAAATATAGATTATTTCAGAAAACACCAAAAATTCAGATACATGTGTTTTGCATTTTTAAAATGCTCAGTTTGAGCATGATGGCATCCCTCTCATTTCAAAAATTGCTAGGCTTGACTCTAAAATGAAACAGCTTTAATATATATATATATATATATATATATATATATATATATATATATATATATATATTTTTATTTTTTTTTTTTTAATATTTATGTTCAACGGGGGGAAATTTGTCATAATTATTGCATTAATACTAATTATAATATATATTTTTTTAATTTTCTCAAAACACCAAAAAAAGAAAAGAAAAAATATTATAAAAAACGAGTAAAAAAAAATCATGATTTTTTTTTTTTTTTTTTAAATATGAATCCTGCCCTTTGGGTCCATTTGGACCCGAACACCCCGAGTGTGACTCTGAAACGAACAACCCCAGAGGGTTTGAAAATTAATTGTTTTGTTATTTTTAACAATTTGATGCCAAATCAAGGTCAGTTTGTCAAGAAATCCATAAAATGGATGATGCTTTTATCCAGCTGATTTCATGATATTTAAAGAGTTAGTTCACCCAAAAATGAAAATTAAGTCATTAATTACTCACCCCCATGCTGTTCCAACCCCGTAAGACCTTCGTTTATCTTTGGAACACAAATAAAGATATTTTTGATTGAATCTGAGAGCTGGATCAGTCCTACATAGACTGCCTAAGGGACTGCCTCTTGACGGCCCATGAAGTCATTAAAGAAAAGGTTTAAATATTCCATGTGCCTACAGCGGCTCAATTATAAGTTTATCAAGCGACAAGAATACTTTTTGTGCGAAAAAAAAAACATAAATAACGGCTTTATTCCACTATTCCATTACTTCCTTATGGGCGCATGCGCGAGAACTGAGACAACGACGTTCTCATTCGTCTACTTCTTGTTACCGGCTGCTCACCGCTTAGGAGTTTTACCGCCACCTACCGTATAAGATGATGATCCATATATAAGGCGCTCCGGATTATAAGGAACACTGTCGTTTTTTGAGAAGATTAAAGGCTTTTAAGTGCACCTTATAGTGCGGAAAATACGCTAATTGAAAAGCGTATGTACAGCGCGCATCTTCCTCTGCTTGTAAACAGAAAGTTTTGCGCTTCCAGCTATATCAGCACATCATCTTATACGGTAGGTGGCGGTAAAACTCCTAAGCAGTGAGCAGCCGGTAACAAGAAGTAGACGAATGAGAACGTCCTCGTCTCAGTTCTCGCGCATGCGCCCATAAGGAAGTAATGGAATAGTGGAATAAAGTCGTTATTTATGTTTTTTTTTCGCACAAAAAGTAGTCTCGTCGCTTGATAAACTTATAATTGAGCCGCTGTAGGCACATGGAATATTTAAACCTTTTCTTTAATGACTTTATGGGCCGTCAAGAGCCAGTCCCTTAGGCAGTCTATCTAGGACTGATCCAGCTCTCAGATTCAATCAAAAATATCTTTATTTGTGTTCCGAAGATGAACGAAGCTCTTACGGGGTTGGTACAGCATGGGGGTGAGTAATTAATGACTTAATTTTCATTTTTGGGTGAACTAACCCTTTAATAGCCTATTTCCAAAATCGTCGCTCTCGTTACTATGGAAAATGCTTGAAAATGCTTAAAATATGTGCCCAAATATTCTTTTTCATTTGTACACTTATTAGCATATGCTTATTTAGAGTGAAATTAAATTAAATATAAAGATTTTTTTCAGATTTTCAAAACAGATTTCTAAACTTGGCACAAGTATTTAAAAGAGAGATTTTGAAAGTAACTTGATGCGAATAAAGATTTTATCATAGAAAAGTTTCGTTCTAAAAAAAATGCTGATTAATCCAGCGAGAAAACATGTTGTCAGAATCTCTAGTTTATTAAATGCTACATTTTTAGTCCATTCAGAATCGTGAGAGATTCATGATCTCTATATTTAAAACGAAAACCCGTTTTTATTTTCTTCAGAATTGTGCAGCTCTATTATTTATAATTGACAAACAATGTGTGTGTGTGTGTGATACCTGTTTGCAGAAGCGCAGGAAGCCGATAGAGTAAGTCCTGCCCCATAGACAACAAGTGCCATAAACACAGCTGGACCTGAACACACACACACACACACACACACTAGAGAAACCGCTGATTTATCATCTGACAGACACACACACACATAGAGAGAATGGCTGAACTCACTGGATGGGTTTTCCTCTGATCTCGGCCATGATGGCGCTCTCGCCGCCCAAACACTCATAACACAAACTCAAGAAGTTATAGATCACGAACGCTGCAGAAAACACACACACACACACACAGAATCAGCACAGAAAACAGAGAGCGGACTGAGACTGTGCTCTGATTGGCCAAAGATCCCTAAAGTCTCGATCACAAAACTCAATATAAACTCATATATTTGTCATCGAAGCTGCTCAAAGCTAGTTATTAACCAAAGCATAACTGAGCAATGAAAGACAAATCAAGTGTGCTGTAGGTGTGTGTGCTGAGCATATAGACATGATCTCAACACTTATCAGCTCAATATCACACACACATCCTGATAACGCTGAAGCTGTTTGTAGAAATAGACCTGAAATTATCATATATATCCATACTTACTACTGTTAGTACTAGGACTGTGCAACGATTAATTGTGATTAATCACATCCAAAATAAAAGTTTGTGTTTACATAATATATGTGTGTGTGTAATTATTTTGTATATAAAAATTCACGCACATGCATGTATATATTTAAGAAAAATGTGTTAATAATATATAAAATATTAATATATATATTTAATGTAAATTAAGTATAAACATATATACAGCATATACATGCAAATATTTCTTAACAAAATAATTACGTAGTGTTGCAGTATTAGTATTATAATTAAAATACTTACGAAAACCTTGAATGATGGCTTGACAAATAGAATTTTTTATTTTACGCTTAAAAAATTAAGCCTTTTTAAAGACATAAGCATTTCAATTAATAGTAAAAATCCATCAATACTTGTGTAAAATTATTCCTTTATTTACTAAAAATATGTGAGGTTATTCAATTATTCAATTAAAATTTGTAAGGAGTATTTAACCATTTAATTATGTAAGTATCATCCAATTAAATATGTAAGGATTATTCAATCATTTAATTATGTAAGGATTATTTAATTAAAACATGTAAGATTATTCAATTATGTAAAGATTATTAAATTAAAATATGTAAGCTTATTCAATTATTCAATTATGTAAGAATTATTAAATTAAAATACGTAAGGTTATTCAATTATGTAAGAATTATTAAATTAAAATATGTAAGGTTATTCAATTATTAAATGATGTAAGGATTATTAAATTAAAATATGTAAGGATTTTTCAATTATTCAATTATGTAAGGATCATTCAAGTAAAATATGTAAGGTTATTCAATTATTCAATTAAGGATTATTCCATTTTCATTTTAAATTTGTAAGCATTATTCAATTATTCAATTAAAATATGTAATGATTATTCAATTAAAATATGTAAGGATTATTCAATTCAAATGTGTAAGGATTATTCAATTAAAATATACAAGGATTATTCAATTAAAATATGTAATAATTATTTAATTAAAATGTGTAAGGATTATTCAATCAAAATATACAAGGATTATTCAATTAAAATATGTAATAATTATTTAATTAAAATGTGTAAGGATTATTCAATCAAAATATACAAGGATTATTCAATTAAAATATGTAATAATTATTTAATTAAAATGTGTAAGGATTATTCAATTAAAATATACAAGGATTACTCAATTAAAATATGTAATAATTATTTAATTAAAATGTGTAAGGATTATTCAATCAAAATATACAAGGATTATTCAATTAAAATATGTAATAATTATTTAATTAAAATGTGTAAGGATTATTCAATTAAAATATACAAGGATTATTCAATTAAAATATGTAATAATTATTCAATTAAAATGTGTAAGGATTATTCAATCAAAATATACAAGGATTATTCAATTAAAATATGTAATAATTATTTAATTAAAATGTGTAAGGATTATTCAATTAAAATATACAAGGATTATTCAATTAAAATATGTAATAATTATTCAATTAAAATGTGTAAGGATTATTCAATCAAAATATACAAGGATTATTCAATTAAAATATGTAAGGATTATTCAATTTGATGCAATTTTATGCTATTATTTTAAATCTTGAAAAAATGCTTAATGTTTTGAGTGTATAGCGCTTTATAAAATACAGCAGCTTAGCAGCTTAATAATAAGTGTTAATGTTGCAAATCTCATCAATTATGCAACATATAGCAACAAATAGCATTTCATCTGTAAAGCAGCCGTACAGAAGATAACAGTGTCATATTCAGCTCGAGTCTCGCTCTCTTCACTTCAGAGTAGCCGTTTAAAGGCCTCACACACACACACACACACACACCTTCGTAGCAGTCCCGGACGGTGTCGAAGTACACGTAGTACTCCTCGTTGGTGAAGAACAGCAGACTGAGCCACGAGTCGAAGGCGTAGATCGGCACGATGAAGAGGATGCGCACGATGTGCCGCTGCTCGTTAGGAGTGTTATAGTAACGCAGGTGCATGTAGATCTGAGACACACACACATTATGACATTTATTATACATTTATTATCAGATTTTCATTCTTTATTAAGTGTATCACATAGGGATGCTACATCAATGAACACATTTAAACTGAGCAGAAATACAGATAGAAGAGTTTCATATGCGAGTTAAACATGTGTGAATGAATGATAAACGCCTGTTTGTGTGTGTGTGTGTGTGTGTGTGTGTGTGTGTGTGTGTGTGTTGGGGGGGGGGTTAAGTGGAGCAGGGGATACTTTTAATCACACACACACATTGTGAGTTCTGAATCTGCAGTTGCTATGCAACCACCTCTACTCTCTGATGTCATGCCACCTGTTGCCAGAGCAACTGCTCCTCCTCCTCCTCCTCCTCCTCCTCCTCATCATCATCCTCGTTTATGTCAGGAGTTTCCAACATTATGTTCCAACCTTGTATACACTAGATGTAATGTTAACGTTACAGTAAATAGATCATCAGTTACACAACATTAATAATCTATCCTAGTTATAACACGTGTTGCATATTAATTAAAAGAGAAGAATACGCAATACGCATATGAAATATTGCACTGTAAAAAAAATATTGTTGGTTTCACTTAAAAAAGTAAGTAACCTGGGTTGCCTTAAAATGTTAAGTTGATTGAACTGGAAAAAGTGAGTTAATACAATGAAGGAGATTAATTTAACCATCAGAAACTCAAAATAATAAGTTATCTCAACTAAATAAATTATTATAAAGTTGATTTGACAAAAGAAAATATGTTGTGGAAATATCTTGAAAATATTTTTTACAGTGTGGTTTTATTTTTATATTAGTATTACTCAATATATAATACAAAGAAAAATATGTAATATTTATATAGTGATTGTAATAACATATACACATTATAGGTATAAATGTGCTGTATCAACATATTATTGTAAGAATGTATTTATATTTGATATAAAGAACATGTATTTCTCTATTATATATATATATATATATATATATATATATATATATAAATTAAATGACATACTTGAATTTCTATGATTAATATACTCTCTCTATCTCTCTCTGTGCAGTAATGATGTGCAGGATAGTGTGTGTGTGTGTGTGTGTGACCTGTTGGCAGGTGAGCATCAGCGCCGTCCAGGTGAAGATCCCAGATATGGTCTGAGCGGTGGCGGTCATGAGGAAGATGGGCGTCTCCACGGCGACCACTGGGGTTTCCCACGACTGGTTGTGACCCTCAGGGGCCACCGTAACCACCCCGGGCCCTGGCGCCATGACAACCAGAGAGCCGTTTGATAGAGACACGCCCCTCCTCCACAGCTGAGCCATCTGCAGACAAGAGCCAATAAGAACACGGCAAAGACCAAGGGGCGGAGTCAGTGCTAATAGACCTTATTCAGAGCAGCGCCATGACAGGTATGAAAGTGAGGCTGTGAGGGATAGACTTACCGCGTCTCCAATGGCATCCGCTGTAAAAAGCTGAATAAAGCTGCTAGATTACTCACAATTTTCCACAACTTACATTGTCGGGAGTTTTTTGTCAAGTGAAATTTCTTGGAAAGATGTTTTTCCAGTGTTTCATGAGCAGAACAGTCCGAAAACACATTAAATAACAGTACAGCCCATTGAAGAGATGCATGTCTATCCCTCACAGCCTCGCTTTCATTCTCACTAAAAAAACAAAGATGGTGCTGCTGTGAATAAGGCGTATAACAACAAATGACCACAAAGCAACTCAATCATGGACAGAACAGAGGTTCACACGACAGCTTCACACAACAGCATACTGGGACTCTAAAACACTCTCCTAAAGGAATATAGATCTTTCACTTGGAACCATAATGATATTCTTTGATTTAATAATAAACTTGAGATGATCTTCCTGTAGTGATGATAAAGCATCAATGACATCATCTGAACACTGTGTGTGTGTCTTCCAGGAAGTAGATAGTGTCAGTGTTGCCATGTCAACCGGGTCGGGAGACAGCAGCAGCACACAACGGACCGAAACACTGATCGCATCTGAGCTCATGTTTCTTCTCCTACAGAAAACATCATGAGATTCATCCATTATTAGCACAAACTAACAATAAGCTTTATGAAAAAATGTGAATCAAACTCTTTCAGTGTAGGCAACATTATCTAATCGTTTTTTTTTTTTTTTTAACTGATTGTAATTTATTTGGAATAGTTACTTTATTAATAAGAGTTATGCTACTGGAAATAAATTAAATAGCATCCGAAATTACATAAATCAAAACAATAAAAAAGGCATTAGTAATAGCTTACTGCAGTGCTTCGCTGAATGATCTATACCATGATACGTCCAAAAACGTGGCAATGTCAAAGATTATTTTTGTAATATAAATCTTTACGCATAAAAAAAAAATGTCAGGTTGACATCAACAGATCTTATGATCTTATCATGTATAAAGGAGCAGGCCTTCTTCAGTTTGAGCCAAAAAACCTGTTCGTTAAAGCACATTAGTTCAGCTCATTGCTGTGTGTTCAAGAAGATATCATCACTGATACACAGATGATTAACTTATATCAGAGATCAGCGACTTTACAATTGAGTAATTTTTTCCTTTTTATTGACAGAAACGAGATCGAGCGCTACTGATGTTCGCGATCCGTCTGATGATGATGCGCGAGCGCTGCATGCGTCGCGTGCGGATGTTTCTACGATGTGATTTCATTTCATTAAAGATCTCCTGGAGTAAAAAAAACAATCACACTCACGTTATTCAGTGTATTCCGCTCATCTGCTGCTCTCAGGTCGTGAAACCCCGCATGATGTTGTTCCGCGATGCGCTCCGTCCGTCCACTGACCCTCGCTCGCTCCCCGTGACGTCATCGAAACCGCAGCACCGGTTCATAATGCCATTCATTAATAAGTCATAAAATATTGCGGAATAGATAATCAGCTCCTGCAGACATGAATACACAGTACCAGTTTCTATACACTGGTATAGAGTGCTGAAACAATTAACATCACGTTAGTAGGCCTAGACTAAATAAACTGTGCCAAATTGTACTTTTTGTATGTATTTTTTAAACGCACAAGTTTTACCAGAGAGAGAGAGAGAAGAGTAAAGTAGCCTAAAAAACATCAGCATCCCATTTTAAACAGTCGCATCACAGGACAACTGTGAATACAGATTTCATGAACCTTAAAAATCAGTGCAAAACGAACTACTGGTTTCAACAATACTTCTTTAGCTTAAATATTCGCGTTTAAAAAGTTTAAAAAAAAATCTCTTTCGGTTGTTGGTTTATATAGGCTAGCCTCCACCCTTAAAACGAAAATGAATAAAAATATTTTTTGGGGTGGATTGATGTAGGCGAACCAACATGCCATGGTTAGTGCTGCAAAACCAGGGTTAATTTGTTTACCATGGTTTAACTACAATAACCATGTTTTTTGGCTCTATTTTTAAGCCATGGTTAATTTTACTATGGGCAAATGTAAATTATATCACACTCAGCTCTAAACTGCTCAATGTGGCTTTTAAGACTTAACTAGCCTACATATTAACATTATGAATTTCTGTAAAGTTGTTTTTGAAAACAGCTGGGAGATTAATCTGTTATTCGTCCAAATATTTCAGTTTATTTTAGCTCACTGTATGCACTGAAATAAAGTAAACTTTACTGCTACTGCTCTGTACAGCTTACCTGTTATCATCAAGTAAAATCTACTTACTATTGAACTTAACATTCATGAAGTAATTACGTAAATAATACTTAATTATATTTAAGTCTTGTTTTATTTCACAAAGATAGAATTAAGTCAAATCTACTTAACCAAGTTAATTAAATGCAACAAAATGAACTTTTTACTCAAATTATAACATTGAATCAAACCATGCTTCTAGAGTGATTTTCTTTGGTAAATAATACAATAGATATCATGTAGAATCCAAATCTGTATAATAGAGGTAATGCAGCACTTACCCCAACACAATACACAATGATGGTAACATTCGATAGATCGCTTTTGAGTATGAATGTCAGTTTGAGTAGAAAATTAACTCCAAATGTCATAAAACAGCAAGATACAAAACCTATTATCAAAAGCAATGATACAACAGTGTAAAAACAGCTGGAAAACAAAAAACAATCGTTTTCATTATTCATGCCCCAATGCATGATGGGAACATCAGTATCAGAAAAGTTAATAAGGTTTTAGTTAGTTCTATATCGTCGACATTTACGCTTTAATTTCTACAAGGCTAAGCTCAACTAAATTGAGTTGAGTACTAATATAGAATTTACTTTTGTTTTTTTTTACTGTAAAACCCAACAAGTTAAGCCAACTCATTTTATTTGAGGAAAGCGATTGCATTAATTCAATAGATGCGAGTACTCTGAACTTATTTTAATCGAGTCCACTAAAACAATATTTATTAATACACAATTAAATTTTACAGTGCATTTAATATTGTATATAGCTGGAACCTCACTTTATCGAGTAACAAGTGTAGAATTCTTAAAATTCTAAAATTTAAAACTTTTCACGTAGAAATTACACTTGTTTTGTTTCTGTAGCACTCACTCATTTTTTTATCAGTGTGGAAAGATATGAATGCATCTAATCTACTAGAATTTTTGTTTATTGTTAATGTAAAAAAAACATTTGTTTAAGTGATTGTAAAAAACATTACCATATTTTTTTTAACGTTAACACACAAAACAAAACAATTAACAATACTATTAATCTTTATTAATGTTATAATCTCAACATTTGCTATAGGTCAGAAGTTGTATCTGTTAATATAAGTTAACGTAGTGTGAACTTGACGTAACAAACTAAAATCAACAAAGATTAAAAAAAAAAAAAAGCAGGTAAAAATATCTTGCGAATTAGTACCCCATTGTAAACTAAGCGAGTGTTACCCAGTTTTTTTTTAAGAGTAACTGGAAATACATTTATAACTCGTTAATGTCCATAACACACTGACAAGTTTACAGCTGAGCGACAAAATAAGAGTCCAGAAGCCACAAAAACACAATTTTTATAACAGCTGCATGTCACTTTTATTTAAATAAACTCTTCACTTTGTCTTCCTCTGTAAAATCTCAAAAAATGAAACACTGAAAGGAGTGTTAAAGTCTTAATTTAAAACAAAAACAACAATACAGACACATATAAACACATGTCTCTCAGCTGTTTGTAAACTCTGGACAGGCGGATAAGTTTGGCAGAAACGCCGTCACACGTTTGTGTCTTAAAAATGCTTGTAGAATCATTATTATTGCAGTTCAGCCAATACAAAAGGCTACATGAGTACGCTTAAAAAACAACCAAAGAAACGCCAATCGCAGAAACCCGCTAATGCCAACGTTTGTAAAACACAACCAGCAGTGTATAGTGCACAGTTAACAATGTACAGCCGCACACCAACTCACAAACACAGACGGAAACAGTAAAGTGCACACATACACGCGTTATAGACGTCGTCAGTCCGTCCGTCCGTCCGACACACTTGAAAGTCTCTGAAGATAACTGGTATATGCCATAGCAAAAAACAGCGTACGAATCGTATAAATGTAACAGCAAACCTGACGAACAGATAAAGAAGGGAACAGTGGAAGGTCAGTACGAGTACAGATGCGTTTAAGTTGCACAAAATTCACAGGAACGACCGCCGCGATGGATAGAAGAGAAGCGGGATCTGCGCGAACCTCGCGAAACATCGCAACATTTCACGCCGGGATCAGAAAATTAATCCTATTTTTAGGACAGCGGAAAAACGTTTTTCATCGTGATGAGAGTTTCGCGTTACTATCGTTCATTTCTAATAAAATTGCATTATTTAAACTGTAAAGTGTTTATGCATACTAAAAATCGAATTGCATTGTGATACAGTCGTGAGAATGTAACGAGGATTGTAACGAATGAAAACGTGCGAGTAAATGACGATCGAGAAAACGCGTACGCTTTTTTCCACCACAGAATAAAAACTAATAGGTTATCGTAACTTTTTTATAGCGAGAACAAAGTCAGAATTGTGTTAAAAGTTACTTGCTAAAAAACAGCGCGAAAAACGAATCGACTTTTTCCTCGCTATTGCGAATTTTTAACCGCCAGTTGACTTTTTTGCTAGTTCATTTATCGCAGTTCTGAGAAAGATGGTGGGATAGAAAGTCAAAATGACCTTGTTTTATTTCACCATGTGAAAATTGCACCAGAAAACAAACCAATTTTTGTTGTAAATTGCTCCTAAAAATTAAGTTGTTTTCTTTATGCTAAATTTAGATTCTGCATCTCCCGGCAAATACTCTCACGCACGAACAAAACATCATGCTCGGGCAAATGATAGTTTTGCAAATATTAAAAATGTCTTCCCAAATTCTCATTGAAATTATTTAAAGTGACTATGCATCATGATACCAGTGTTTTTTTTACTCTAATCTAGTAAATATTACCGTCACTATTAAACATAACCGACAACGTTTTGCATTACAATAATGAGAATGTGAGAGTAAATGTGCTCAATCATCACGAGAACGACATCACTATTTGTAAACGGGTCTTCCTTTGATTTTGACCTGATTCTGGAGTGAAATGTGGGCTGTTATGGGCGAGTTTCACGCATCTACCCGCTTCAGATGCTCTCGCGCTCGGACGAACTTAAAAAATCCACTGTCGAAGCGTTAAAACTGTCTTGCGTGTGCCAGCGCAACATCAAATTTACATCGGCTGTTCAAGTTGAGCAGTGTGTGAGAAAGAAGGCCTTTAGAAACAGTCCCTGCATTCAAATACATGATAGCTTAACTCTGGCAATGACGAGAAAGTCTGTAAGCAAATCCCACTGCGCTCGCACTGCACCTGTGTGTGTGTGTGTGTGTTTAACATCTCACTGGATATGAAAGCCAGTCAACACGTCCAGTGTGTGTGGAAATGCAGCTCTCTGGATGCGAGTGTGTGTGTGTTTGTCTTAAAGCTGCGGCGTGTGAAATCAGCTTCACCAGAAACAACTGCAAAAACAATGACGACATGCAGAAGCCGTGCGTTAGATGACTTGTTTTTCACTCAGTAAATCAAAATATACCTCGAGAATATGTTTAAGTTTTCATATAGATATGTGATTGATGCATACATACGTTTTGTTGCGATGTGACATCATTCAGCCAGTATTTTATCCATCACGGTGGTATTTGTCTACGCTGCCTTTAATTTATGATTTATTTAAATACTATTATTTTTATTAAACCTATTAATTAATTATGCATTTATATAAAAAATTGAAAACTATTGCTGTATTTACTAAATATAACAGCAAAAAAAAAAAAATTATTTGGGAATAATTACGATGTAGACCCGCGAATTCAATGAATTATTAAATGTCAAAATTCTTTGTTCAGGTTTCAATAAAATGTTGTCACGAGGTTCATCCCTTGTCTTTGCCAAAACTACACTACAGAAAGATTCTAATAAAGCATTGGGCTTCCACATGTTTGGTAACGATCATTATTTTTGCAGTTTGATGCCGTTACGACACACTTTAAACTCCACGTACCAGTTTCTCGATAACTGTCAATCACAAACTGTCAGTCCCGCCTCCAAGCAGGTTGCCAGGCAACAACCCAGCCGAGCCGTCCTCTAACTGAGGAGCGCCCCATAGGCTCCCGCCATGGTAACTGGGAGCCACACCCCCCCAGACCCCTTTCCCCACCCCCTCCCCGGTGCTGTTGCTCCATTGGCTGAGGAGGGCGAGTCCTGGCGTCTCGGAGCTGGTGGACACGTCGAGCCCCTGCCAGTCTCCGCCCGCGGGCCGCTCGCCATCTCGAGGGGAGGAGTCAGACGAGCCCTCCGCTGGCCCTGCCCCCCCCACGCTCTGGGAATGTGTGAAGTAACGCATGACTTCCTCCTCGCTCATGAACTCCGCCACGATGGTGGTGTTTCCCAGAACGCACCTGAACATGAAGACAAAATCAGTCACTTCATGTAGGAAATTACATCTCAACAGTGAATTGATTAAAAAAATGCAGACTTATTTAACTGTTGCGAGAGTGTGTGAGTGTGACTGTGTGAGTGAGAGTGGTGTGTGTGTGAATGGGTGAGTGAGTAAGTAAGTAAGTGAGTGTGTGTGTGTGAAAGAGAGTGTCTCACATATGCAGTGCACTCTGGGCTTTGGCGGCCTCATGAGGGCTGCTGTAGCGGATCAGAGCGCTGCCCTGTGTCAGGCCGAGGTGAAAGGTCAGCAGGGGGCCGTGCTGCAGACAGATGGTCCTCAGCGTCGAGCCGTCGATCTGCACAAACGTGAACGCACCTCAACCTGATGCTCGACTGCCGACACACTCACAAATGCAGTCAACATCCAGTAAAACATCTTCAAACTGATTCGCATGAAGCGCCAACTGATTCAGAGACACACTGTCGCTAAAAAAGTTTGGGGTCAGTGAGATAAATTTAATGTTTGTGAAAGAAGCCTCTTCTGCTCACCAAGGCTGCATTTATTTATTGATCAAAAATACAGGAAAAAAAACAGTGAAATAGTATTACTATGTAAAATGTCTGTTTTCTATGTGACTAAATAGAAAAAAATTGATTTACTCCTGTGATCAAGGCTGAATTTTCAGCATCATTACCCAGAAATCATCATATTAGAGTGATTTCTGAAGGATCATGTGACACTGAAGATAGTAATGATGCTCCAAATAAAGCTTTGATCACAGGAATAAATTACAGTTTAACCAAGCACAACCTTCTGGTGTCTCTCCTGAATCAAAGATGGAACTGCAATTCATCGACTGGCCACTAGAGGCCGGCTGCAGAAGAGAGTCAATCCCATAGACCCCCTTGTTGAAATGCCCAACTTTACGGCAGAACAAAATGTGTTTGCAGCCTGGTGCAAAAAGCGATTTTGATCTATATCGCTAATTTTGCCCTTCATGACAACCGTGAGGGGAGTGAATTTTTTAATAACTCATTTGTTTAAATTACATTAAGCCTTAAAGTTCTGCATAATTAAGGGCGTGGCCACTAGAGTGACAGGTGGATTGATAGCGTCACGTCCCCTCAGTTAATCCGCCTCTTTGCCCATTTTCGGCCATCTCCGCCCACTTTGGGCTTTAAAAACGCTTTTCAGAAACACTACAATGACGTCACGTACACAACGTCTAAATTTTGTTTACAGTCTGAGTTTAACATATTATTTCACATAGAAAACAGCTGTTTGACAATGCGATAACATTTCCCAGTTTCCGCTGTATTTTTGACCGAATAAACTCCGCTGTACCTGTGGCGTGAGGTTCCTCAGTAACAGCCATGATTTTCCCGCCGATGCTCCTCCGTCGCTCCACTCTGAAGAACACGATACATGAACAGGTTGAGCTTCCCGCGGGTCCGTTGCTCGCGTATGATCATTGTGTGTGTCTGCAGTACCTGGTTTAAAGGGCGAGTCAGGGCCGCCGGCTCCGCCTCCCCAGGCCCGGGGCATCCGAGGCCCCTCCCCCGACCACGCCTGCTTCTGACTGCTGAGGCCCGGAGGGGGGCGGGGCAGGTGAGAAGCGCTCCGATTGGTCCGCCACGATTTGCTGTGTCCAATGGGCTCCGGCGGCCAACTGGACTTCAGCTCGGAGTATTTAGCTGGAAACGTTATTGAAATATTACCAGCGGTCTTTGCAATTCAAAAGGATTAAAGTCCCCCTGTAATTTCATCCCTTAAAGGTGCAGAATGTAAGAATGACTAGTGGTCGAAAGTGGTACTGCAGTCGAATTCAAAATATCGGAGATCGTCGTTTCTCCCGACGAAGTTTTATTCGCTGACTTTAACTAGATCGCTACACGAAGAATGACATAGTGACGAAACGCGTGTGTCTGTTCAGGGCCACCGAAGAAACGTGTTGATGTAAGCGGACCCGCGGTGTGTGTAGACGGAAATGGCTCATTCTAAGGTAATAAAAACATAACAGTTCATTGTAAGGTCTTTATACACCACTGAAAACATAGTTATGTATACGATATTGCATTTCTTACAACAGATCCTCCTAAATATTACACAATGCACTTTTAAAACTCATCTTTGGTCACCAAAATCGTTTTTTCCTTGTCTTAAAATAGCATGACTGTAACTCCACACCCTTGCCTCATTTAGTGAATATGCAAATGTAGAGCCCTATAAAATCCGTTTTATTTTTTCCCAAATTCCGTTTTTCCGTTTTAATTTTTGCAAATTCCGTTTTTTCCGTTTTAATTTTTGGGAATTCAGTTTTTTTTTTTTACCCTTTACTGTTATTTTAGTTGTAAAAAGAGCTTTTAATGTTGCTTTTAATGTTACTGATTAAAATGTACACAAATAAAATAGGCATTTTCTCTTAAAATGACAAATACTGCATGACGCAACATAGGTACTTCAAGTAACAACAAAATATGGTTATGAGCTTTAAACGGTCCTGTAAAAATGAATTATATTAGTTTATATAAGTTAAAATAAAAGTCACACTCTAGCTGCGTCGTAATGTGCATACTATCCATCCTAAATAATATGCGACATTACCGTCAATACTATTTCGGGCATAGTATGCACATTGGGACGCAGCTTCTGTCTCTCGCACGCACTGTCGAGCGCTCTCTCGGACACGCTTGGTCTCTCTCGCGTGCTCTTTCGGACACACTCGGTCTCTCTCGCGCGTACTGTCGAGCGCTCTCTCGGACAAACCGGTGTCTCTCGCGCGCACTGTTGAGCTGTATAAATAAATTTTACTTACTTACTTACTTACTTGAGCGTGCTGTCTCGTCTCTCGTCACTTTTTCGCCGACGAAAGCAGAGCCGTGGAGAGCCGCTTCGCCATGCTTTCAGTGGAAACGCGGCTATTGTTTTGATGCCGTCATGAGCTGAAATGACGGGAGGGGTTGTGTCGCCCAGATTTGCTTCCCCGTCTCTCTGCATTTTCCCCAGACATACGTTCTTCTCCCACACAAAAAACGAATTTCATTCCAAATATGTAAAATTCCGCGAAATTCCGCGTTAACACTAGATTCCGCATTAATTGGCCAATTCCACGATTCCGTGACCGCTGAAATTATAGGGCCCTACAAATGAGTCCCGCCTCCACTCACTCACTCAGCTCACAGATCCACTCGCTGACGAGCATACGTGGATCTGATTGGTGTGACGTCAGAAACACCAGCGATTTCAAACCGTATTTTTGATTTACTGCGGTTTTCAGGAGAAAATACTCAGCAACAGTGTTGGCTCGTGAATTTACACATGGTTTGTCTTAAAGAATATTAAAAACGACACATAAACAATTAAAAAAAACTTGATGTTCACCACAGGGTGACTTTAATACACAGTTGTGATGGTTTTGGGGTGTTACCTGTCCCGTGTGCAGCGAGGGGCGTTTCCGAGGCACTGTATGGCCAGGCACCGGGTGAAGGCATACAGGTGTTCAGAGAGTTTGACCCTGGAAAATACAATCACACTTATTCAGGGACAGCCAATCACATTTATAAGGCCTCTACATGATCAATGTCTAACATAAATATTAAAAGGTCTTTTAGTGTATTTGTTCAAACATACACTTTCAGCTTGTGTCTCTTTGCGGTGAAATCTGCACTGATTTTTATCATCAAGTAAACATTAGAATAACTTGTATTTATAACTTTTAACTGGACTGAAGCAACTTTGTTTATAGAAAACTTCATTTATAGAAAACTTTTGTTTTATAGAAAAATCACGAGTCTAAATTATGATCAGGTTCAATATAGTTCAATCATTATTAAATGACACTCCATTATATGTTTTAAAGTTCCTCTGTGGTGAAAATCAAGCTTTTAATGTTGTTTATATGGTGTTTTTAATATGCGTTAAGTCAAACCATGTGTAAATTCATAAGTCGACAGCATTGCTGAGTATTCTTCACCGTAGTGAACCAAAGAGTCTCAAAAACACAGTTTAAACTGATCAGATCAGCGTGTGATCGTGAACGAGTGGATCTCTGAGATGAGTGAGTGAGTGGAGGCGGGGCTCATTTGCATATTCAAAGCACCGCGGATACCAAATGAGGCAAGGGTGTCAAGTTACATTCAAGGGCCAGTTGTTCAAAGGAAAGCTGATCGGATTTTGGTTATCGGATTGGATCAAATCTTGAAAATGGGTTGTTCAAAAGGGAAAGAAGGAATCTGAAATCAGATTAGATCAGGGGATCCAATCCTAGTTTTAATCTGGATCAAACCTTCAGTTTGTGTTGTTCAAAACTTGTCAGTGGGATTTGGATAAATTTGAACCAAAAAAGCAGGATTATCCTGATCCCAACAGTGGGTAGGATTTCAAGGTGGATTTCAGGAAGAAAATGTAGTAAAACTTTAAAATTGGTCAAAAAATAGATTTGTATCATTTGTGTATATACTTTTATTTATATTTTGCACTTGACTTGTGTAACAGTGATAAAGTAGACATAGGCTAACCATTAAGCTCTTCAGTATAGTAAAGTAAAAATAAAATAAAAATTATCTTGTCCCCATTTGTGTTTTGTCTCAAAATAAGAAACATTTACAGTGAGCACGTGTTGGCTCTTCTACCTGTTCTTTACATAGCTGGTAGCCCACATTGTGATATGTTGTCCCATTTAGAGCACTGGTAATCCGGATTTGGTAATCTTGAAAACTGTGCATCTGGATCAGGGTGATCCAGTCCCAATGTTGCTTTGAAAAACCGGCATAAAAGTAAGATGGATTGCCTGATCCTGGATAGGAAAAAATGGGATTTCCCAATCCGGATCATTTTGATCCAGAATAAATGTTTTGAACAACTGGCCCCAAGATATTTTAAGGCACAAAGAAACTTTTTTAAGTACAAAAACCTTTAAATATGTCATTTTGGTGATCAAAGACAAGTTATAATGGATATGATTATTGACTATAGGGGGACGGATTTATATATGAAGAGTTCAGATGCAAAAGCCTCTAAGTGCCATTTGAAATTTTCTTCTAGAATGATCATTTTTATCAAGCTTGTATATTTAAGTTCAGTGATTTCACTTAAATGGCAATGATAATTACCTATTAATTGTTATTTAAGTGAAATTACTGAACTTAAATATACAAGCTTGACAAAAATCATCATTAAAGAAGAAAATTTCAAATGGCACTTAGAGGCTTTTGCATCTGAACTCTTCATATCCTCTTACTAAGAAATTATTGGCAGATATTGATATTTATAATATCTGCATTTTATGTAATCATCTGCTATACTGTTATAAAGAGCTCATTGATTTATATAATAAGCATCAGATTTCTCATCCTTTTGTCCATATAAATATCAGCATCTGAAGCAAATTGCATATTTTTGCTCAGTTTGGGACTCTGAATATATGAAACGTATTTCATGTTAGGCTTTACAGGGTACATTATATATAAAAAATAATACTATTTATTAAACTTGAATACGAGATGAATATGAATACGACACTGATATAAAATGCGCGTCTTGAGATGAGTCGGGTTAAGGTGAACCCTCTCTGACTCCGCACCTGTGTTGTCTTGCAGTAGATGATGTTCGGTGTCGGCGAGCACGGCGGATCCCATCATTCCCGCAGGGGTCATGTAGGGGTCAGACTCGGGCTCAGGGCTCTGGACACCCTTCCACGGGACGCCCGGCTGAAACTCTGAGACAGACCAGATAAACACATGTGATCTTCAGGGTGTTTAACATCAAAATTAAGGCTTTTCAAGCACCTGTGGCAACCCTTTCATATATTATATGACATCAAGTGATGAGGAAGTAATAACACAGACAATAAACGGTTTATTAAGATGTCTTTGCTACATCAACCCAATTAGACATTTGTGACTGAATGACTCTTATGGGCTGCTGCTTTATGATGGTATTTTTACAATTTTATAGTGGTAAAGGCCATTGAATCTGATCCTGTTTAATCGATGATCGATAAGTTTTACATTGATTAATCGTTGACATTCCAAATATATATAAAACAGATGATATATTTTAAATTGTAATAATATTTCACTGTTTTTCCTGTATCATATAAATTGAGCATTGGTGATCAGAAGAGACTTCTTTTATTAAAAAAAACTTAATCTAGTTAACCTAAATAAACTAAAAATAATCCGTTTTTAACAGTAGTGTAGAAATGCCTATAAATCAGATGGTGAACATAGTCAAGACAGCCGAAGTGATTTCACTGATATCAGAGCAGGGGAGTCAGTAATAAAGAGAGTTACCTGGAGGCCAGGTGGGGTTTGCTGGAGGCGTGTCCATTTTCCCAGCGGCGATTCTGTGCCAGCCGCCGCCCAACACGTCAAACTGAGGGAACGAGCCCTTCACCGGCCCTGAACACACACACACATTCATTAACACACACATACAGTCTACACACAGTTAACACACATTCCCAGGGACCCGTGACGTTTTAATGCTTCAAAAACTACAGTTAAAACTAACAAATCCATTAATCACTTAAAAAGTCAAATGAAATTGTAATAATTCAAACTGTTAACTAATATTGAGTAATATTCCTTAAAAAAATAATTTTCTATTAAACTGTATTACTGTTTATTATTACCAGGGTATTAGCACTTCAAATAAAAAAAAAACACTTTTTCTAATACCATTTTTTCAGTAATAATGATTAATAATTTTTAACAGTAATAATGATAATAATAATTCTTATTTAGGGATAAAAATAGTAATGTAAAAATAATAATATAGTAAATAAGTCTAATTATAATTATTAGACAGATATAACTGTGAAAATATTTACTACCATTGTAATTTTTTTGCATTTTTAACTCTTTAAAAAGTGGATTTATGAAAAGGACGGTTATTTTTAACATTAAGGAATTTGAGACATTTGAAACATTTTTAAGGATCTGCAAACACCCTCTTCACTCTGAGAAGTGCATTGTACTGTACAGCAGTGAAACTTCTGTCATCATTTCTTTATTCTCTGCATGTGTGTATGTAGTGTTGTACCGTTGTGTAGTGTTTGCTCTGGCGGGGAGGGCGTCAAGCTGTTCCCATCCATCATCCACTTAAATCGAGACTGAGTCCCACCTCCATCCTTCAATCCAGCAGGAGAACTCATCATAGAGTCCAGATCAGATCCGCTCGCAAAACCTGACACAGGCAGATGAAAATGTACTTACGAAATTTCTTAAACTCATTCTTCTCTTGCGGGTCAAAACGACCCAAAGCCGTAAAATTACATTTAATATTTATTTTTGTCCAGAAAGCTTATTTTATTTCATTTTGTTCATATTTTTCATTTTTGAATGAAGTTGATTTTTTGTTGTTGTTTTTATTTTATTTACCTTTAAATTACTAGATTAAATCAGTAAATAAATATCAATTTAGAAGCACATTCCTCACATTCTTTCAACTTGAATTCAAAATAACTCACAATATATCTTAAATTTGGTGTCTTTGCCGACCTCTCGAGGGGAAAAAAATTGGATAACATGATGTTTCATGACTCTTGCCACTAGATGTCCTTATCCACCTCACTCTGCTCTAAACAATGCGCGCTGCCATGACGACGACTCCGGTTCGAATCTGGTCTATGTGTTTCAGATTGTGTCATCCTCACAGCTAAACTAAATCGAAGAAGAAAAAAAAACACTCATCAAATGTGATCTGATCAGGTTATTTTTTTTTTTTTATTAAATCACAGATTAAAACAAAATGAACTTTTTCTTTTTTTCATAACTTCCAAAGGATAGCTGATGCGTGACTGCACGATCTCCCTAATCCAGCAATACATGAACATCTGCTGCAGAATAACCCAAGCATTAGCCCTTTGACTCCTGTCTACCTCTGCTTTCAAAGATGCACAGTCTATATATTTCTCAGGCCTGTGAGGCAAGTAGGCTACATTATACGCTGAGTTTTGGTTCATTTATTAGACCAGAATCCAGTTTGCTTCTTATTTATTAAAACCAGGCAATTGGTTGATGAAACATTGATTGAAATTATGACACAATTAATAAAAACGAATTCACTTTATAGAAAGGCTTTGTGGTTTCTCTTTAAGATCTTTGTGAAGTCGCTTTCAGGGCGGTCCTGTCCGTAATGGAGAACTGTCACGTCTGTATTCCGTAACATTGTTTTTTGCTAATAAATGCGAAGACGAAAAATAAAATAAAAATAATATTTTATGTTCTGTGGAGGCCGACCCTTCTTCATCCGGTTAGTAGGCTATTACTTTTGTTTTGCGCGGTGTAATTCATAGAATTACTAAAAAATATATATATATATTGCCACCTAAAAGTTAAGAGATTTGTTGTGTTATATGTACTTCGCTCATATTAAATATAAAACGCATGTGTAGACTGATATTTTTCTAATTTCTAGCATTCTATGTAAACAAATACCAAGTAAAAAAAAACATTTAGTCAGTTGAACCCGCTATGAATCATGGGAAATAGAACGGGCGCAGAAAAAGGTGGATAGCTCTACTGTATATGGAGCAAATGAGCTGTTCTGCTGGGTCCTAAAATCATTTTCTCTTCAGTATGCATTCAGATACACATGTAAACATTATAAAAGAGTTTTGTTTTTTTCTATGTGTAGTAAAGCATTCCTCACATTCAATTAATAGAGTTAAAAAGGGTTCAAATTGAGCCGTGAGGGAAGGATTTGTTCCTGTCTTTAATTTCAACCACAAAAATCATCGAACCCATTAAATAAATTTGTTTGTGTATTCGTGGCTCAAGTGTGACAATAGTCATGTGGTATTTGACACCTCTGATGAACACTAAATTTAAAAAACAAATTCCAGGTCAAATTGAAACCCTTACATATTCTCATTTAAAGCAGGGCATTCCCATAAAACACAAAACTTTACAGTTAAAGCGGTCAGATTGGTCACCTGTGAACGCTGCTGGAGCTTTGCTGTGCAGCTCAGATCCTCCCATGGCTGAATGCATCGGCACATCAGGCTGCTTGTGAGCGTTCATGCCCAAGTGATGGAGGTGTGTGTCTTGGTGTTTGGGGACATGTCCTCCCATGGGAGACGGCGAGAGTTTGGGCCCGCCGACCCCCTGCTGCTGCTGTAGGATAGCCATGATCCGTGCCAGCTATGAAGAAAACACACCTTAGCGAAAAAGACTTAGCATGAAAACAATGTGTAGTTCTGTCTCTGCGAAATCTATATTCTTAATGAGCATTTTTTTTTTTTGTCTTGCATTCCAGTTCAGATATCTAAAAATCCTTAAAACAAAATACATGTTTTATAATATTAAGATCAGTCATTACTCTGTATCTGCTAAATATTGTCTGGATAATCTAGTAAACCTGAGTTGCTTCAGTCCAGTGAGTGAATATAAAAGCTATTCTTACATTTACGTATTAAAAATCAGTGAAGCTTTCACAGCAATGAACACAAACCACGAGCTGAAGGTGGACGTTTGTCGCATTACACTAAAAGGCTTTTACTTGCTAAGTCTGAACTATCAGTCAAATAACAGAGGGCATGCAGTAGATTGTGAGCAATGGGTTTTTCAGCAAAGTTTTGTCACAAACATGATCCAGCAGGCTTTATAGGATTTATTCAGCAGAGGGCGCTGTGCAGTTCTATGGATAATTCAGCAGGGGGCGCTGTGCTAATATCTGGCGCTGTACCTGCTGCGGGTCGTGCTGTTGTCTTACAGGAGGAGGGAACTTCCTCTGATTCAGAAACTGCTGCTGCTGCTGTTGCTGTTGTTGTTGTTGCAGAATGAGCTGACAGGCCTGGGACAAGGAACGCATATAAAACGTTAAAATAACGCTTATTAAACATATGTTATTTTGCAGGGCCAAAATGTGATGCATACCAGCTGGAACTGCTGCATGTGTGGATGAATGCCACCGAGCATGGCGATTTGCTGGGGGGAGAGTTGTGGGGGGAATATCCCGCCACCAGGGGGCGCCATTGGCTTCAGCATCGGCCCAGGAACCTGCCGAAACATAGAGGAACCGAGAGCTAATAATAAACGTCCATTTATCACAGTGCTAAAACCAAAAACACAAACTGACCTGAGGTGGCAGGAACTGGGGAGGCACTTGTGCTCGTATCCCGGGGGAAGGGTTCAAGGGGTGCACACCACCCTGATGCATCCCTCTCATTGGAGGAATCCCCCCACTGCCATACATATTATGACCCCCGACCTTCAAAACAACAGCAAAGAGGAGATAAAGATTAGGCCTTTAGAAGTTTTTTTCAAGTCTGTGAAAATCTACCCATGGACCCACTGTACCCTTGAGAAAGGGTCTTAGGCCTTGTCCCAAATGGTATCCTAAACAAAAGTAACTAAAAAGTAATTAAACTGCATCCAAAATTGCATACTTCCCTACTGTACAGTAGATTAAAAACATTTCGCATTAATTCACAGTACTCGTAAAAGAGTAGGTAAGAAGTACTCAGATTGCCTAATACGTCTGGCGAGATTCTGAATCCCATTATGAATGGCAGTGAAGCAACACAACTGATGCTAGTAGGTCATATGACAATGTAGTACATCCAGACTAAAGACATTCAAACAATATAGAACATACTTTTTTACAGATTACATATTCAAAATAGGGGTCTACTCAAGTATGCAATTTCAGATGCAGCCTTTGTCCAAATAAAAAAATTGCAGATACATCATAGCAAGTTATGACATTTTGTTAAAACATTAGGTATGCATGGATCAATCATTCACGATATGTGGACTAAAATAAATAAATAAATAAGTAAATAAAAGACCAGTGGCATACAATAAAAAAAAAAATGAATGGGGTCAAATTTGATATCAAAACCTCAGGTTGCTCGAGGGTAGGGTTGGGTATCGAGAATCGAGTATCGATTGGAACCGGGACTAACTTTTCGTTTTTCCCGGAATCGTTCAAAAGTTAAAATTTCAATTCCTAGTTTCGATATTCACAGTCCGCCGAGCGGAAGAAGAAACCGCTGAACAACACCAACGAAGAAGCGTCTACCGGAAGTGTTGGCATAACCACGCGAGTCGAACATGAGTAGCTTACGTCGGCAGTCCACAGTGTGGCTTCACTTTTCTAAAAATAACGAAATCTCTGCAAAATGCTAAATTTGTGACAAGTATTTGTGACAGAAGGAGTATTTCCTTCAGAAAGACCGTTGGTTAGCAAGGTTAGCTAAACTTTTTTGACCCTGCCTCTTAAAAGAATCGAAATCGAGAATCGTTAGGAACCGGAATCGAAACCAGGAATCGGAATCGGAATCAGAATCGTTCAAATTCAAATGATACCCAACCCTACTCGAGGGTCACTTAGGACTGGAACAAGTTCAGTTGCTCTTTCTTCTCAAGAGGGGAGTTTATGCATATATATGTCATGCAATTAAATACAACTTTCTTTCTCCTTCAGTGAAGTTGGCACTGGAAGTGTCTCGGTACCTTGTCCAGGTAAGGTCCGGTCTCCCCACATGGCATCTCTTTGGAAGTCTGTGAGCGGAAAGCTCCCCCAGTCCTGCCGCCTCTCCGCATCTCGCCGTCATTCATTCCTCTCCTGTCATGTCTATCGTGACCCATACTGGAGTCTTCATCCTGACATAAACAATCAGCATATTTATACAGCTCTGCAGCATCACACAAGAGCAAATCAACACAGAGGCAAGGACTAGCTTACCGAAACGCCCATGTTTGAGAACTGCCGAGTAACAGGAGATGCCCATGAATCCCCACTGTTACCTTTAAGGGGGCTCTGGGGTACAAACCAAAGGCGAGAGGGTTGGGAATGTTAAGGTTTATGCTTCTTAAGAGTCAAATGTTTTCCTTTAATGTCTTGGTAAGGTCAAAAGATCTGGCTATGAAGAGCTTAAACATACCTTAGTGTTGAGTCTCCTGGCCCCCTGGCCCTGCCCCCAGCCGCCAGAGTTGTATGTGTTGCTTTGGGATCCGCGATTTCCCCAAACACCAACACCACCACCACCATCCTCTTCCTCCCAGCTGGAGTGACGGGATGCATTTGAGCTTTCATCACCCCAGCCCTCTTGCATAGACTTTGAACCTGAAGAGAATATATATGAAAATTAGCAAAAATCACACAGTGGAAGTGTTCCACCTTGTTCTCGTTAATGCAATAAAAAAATCAAGAACATTATATTTTTTCCTTTAAGTTTTCATAAAACAGCAAAAAAATTTCTCCTTACTCTACCTGATTCATTTTATTCCAATATTAAAACTAGATAAGAAATATTCGAGTCAAAAATGATTTGTGCAAATGTCACATCTACAGTGATGTGAATAAGTTTGGACACCCATGCTAAAGTTGCCTAAAAAGAGGAATAAAAAATCATCTTTTGGATGTTGATCTTAATGGCTTAATTAGAAAAATGAGGAAAACTCCAACCTTTAAGGACACACATTTTCTTTGTGAATGAATAATGTGTTATAAATAAATAAATGCTTTTCCTTAAAATACAGGGTGCATATGTCAGGACACCCCTATGTTAAATTCCCATAGAGTCAGGCAGATTTTTATTTTTAAAAGCCAGTTATTTCATGGATCCAGGATAATATGCATCCTGATAAAGTTCCCTTGGCCTTTGGAATTAAAATCACATCATCACACACCATTCACCACACCTAGAGATTGGCATGGGGTACTTTCCATAAGATCATCTTTCAATGCAAATCAAACCAGCTATTAGACCAATCTCTAGGCATGGTGAATGGTGTGTGATCAGGGCTCCAGACTGCGACCAAATGGTCGCATTTTGCGACCAAAAATTGAGAGTGTGCGACTGAATTTTACATCCAGTCGCACATGTGCGACCAGTAAATTTGCCACACGTTAAACGCATGGTAAAGCGTGGAAGAGGCGCGTCAATGAATCCGTGACAAGAGTAGCGCGCGTAAACGTTTGTGGGAAGGAGACGGAAACAAATATCACAAACTGATGTGCGTCTGAGCAATCAGCGATCTATCGACTCTTTAGTCGTGACGTTACCTAGCAGCGAATGCAAACAAAATGAAAGTGGAACGAAAATACGCCACTCATGTATGATTAGGACCGTGGAGCTGCAGCAGCGATCTGAACCATTGACAAAATAAAGCCCCGAACTTGCCCGTCGCGGGCCGATCTCGCTCACGCAACACTGTTACTAGGAGAGCCAGTGAAGAAATCCATTGAATTCGCCTCAGAATTAATAACATCAACACAACGAGATCCAGTGAGAAACACTCCGATTCGGCGCAGAGTTCTGTTATAAACCATATCAGATCAAACAGCGCTGACGTGGAAACCAGGAAAAACACTTACAGAAGGCTTTCAGTCCACAAATCAGCCTAAAAGAACCATGAATTTAGGCAAGTTAACTCTTACCATAAATATGATAATGTGTAAGTAGCCTACTACACATCCTTTCCCAGCACTTCAATAATATCATATATAAATGTTTTATTTTTTTGTATTTTTTATGTGATTTACCATACCAACACATTTTTTGTTCATCCTTTAAAGATTGTCCTTAAACGAAAAATTTTAAGATGTTGGAAAACTCTTATTTAAACACTTAAAATAATAATAATAATACCATTGTAAACAGTAGGATGTTTATTGGCTATTTTCACTCCATATACATATTTTCACTACTTTTATTAATTAATATTAAGACATTATAAATGATAAAAACTAAAGTTAATTTAATCTACACCCTAAATTAAGCTTAGTGATTTATTGTTAGCCCCAGTGCTACCAGATTTTTTTTTTTTTTTTTATAGAACTGTGAGTTCTCATTTGAGGTGATGCTGCCCTCAACTTTGGGTCTGGAGCCCTGTGAAGTTAAAATAAAACAGCATATCATAATGTTAAGTCTATTTATTATTAAAGAATGTGTCAGTATTACAGTTATTTTGGGGGAAATTTGAATAATTGCATTGCAAGCTTATTTAAGGTGTGCCCCTAAATTTTTTGCTTGCGCTCCTAAAATTTTCAGTCAGGGGCAACAGCGCTCCTAGTAAAAAAAGTTAGTCTGGAGCCCTGGTGATGATGTGATTTTAATTCCAAAGGCCAAGGGAACTTTATCAGGATGCATATTATCTTGGATCCATGAAATAACTGGGTTTTAAAAATAAAAATCTGCCTGACTCTATGGGAATTTATGATACATTATTCATTCACAAAGAAAATGTGTGTCCTTAAAGCTTGGAGTTTTCCTCATTTTTCTAATTAAGGCATTACGATCAATATCCAAAAGATGATTTTTTATTCCTCTTTTTAGGCAACTTTAGCATGGGGGTCAAAACTTATTCACATCACTGTATAACACATGGCAAAATTTTAAAAGTAGCCCAATTCAACAGGAAAACTGCAGGATTGGCATGATGTAATGGCAATTGTACTTGAATAGGCTTTTACCAGGCTTAGCAGAATGGGAATGGGAGTTTCCCCATCCACCTCCTTTCCCTGGTTCACTTGATTCCCCCCAGCCACTTGGTGCATCAAACGATTTCCCCCAAGAAGCCGTGGCACTGTCCACAGATGGCTCGGTAGGACCACCGCTGCGTGCCCAGTTTGCAGGAGCTAGAAAGTGTAAATGTTTCAATGAAAGGGATGTTTCTGGTTCATAATGGTTTGATCGACTCTGCTATCAACTCTCTGATAAGAACTGCTTCCTTCTTACCAGAGTTCTTCGATGCAGTTCCAGGCGGCCTTCCAGATGACTGCTGTTGGGCCGGTGAGCTGTTCTTATCCCACAGATTGACGTTCTTGATGCTGTAGCGTGGATCGCCCCATGCAGACGTGCCATCATCGATCTCATTCTTCCGGTTGATGGACTGAGGCGAGGGTTCATCCCATCCACTCGGCTCTACAACTGAAGGCATCTGAGGGATCGCCCACTGCTCCACCCGGATCCTTTGCTCTGGTCGTCCGGCTCTCCTGGACGACCTCTGTCCTGCAAGGCCTTTGGATATCCCGGCATTTGCTGCTGGGTTTGCGATTGCTGCTGTGGTTGTTGATTTTGGGTTTTAAGTGCTGTTTGTTTGTTTGGTATCGGTGATGGAAGAAGCTTCTCACCCCATCCCTGGTGCTGCTTGACACTGCTGCCCCGTTTCCTCCCCAGCCTCCACTCCGCTGTCCCGACTCTTCCAGGTTGTCCTCATCCTGATTCTTGCTGTCACTTCCTCTCTCTTCCTTCCAGCCTCCACCCTCGGGCAATGGCGTCCACTCACTTCCACCACCCTGTTTCCACTCCTTTCCTTCCCTCCTGCCTGTATCTTCAACCTCCTGGTCTTCTCCCCAACCACTCCCTTTACGACCAATCCCAACACTTGTTTCTCCATGCCTGGTCCACCCTTGAGGTCGACCCACCTGCTTCTGCATTTTGGAGCTGGAAAGATCACCTGCATTCCTCCGGCCCTCTTTACCTCGGTCTGTGTGGACGTCAGCATCCCAACCAACATTCCCACTGTCACCCTCGAATTCCCAGGCAACGTTCTGCTTGATTTGGGTCTTACCCCATCCCGTGTTGCACAGCACTTTAGGATCCAGGTTAGTGTGATTGATCATGCTCTGCACGGCTTCTGGATGAAGGGCCTGAAATCCGGAGGGACTTTGAACCAGATTGGGGGCTTGCTTCCCATCTTCAGCCGATTCTCCCTCTGACCCATTCCAACCATCTCCTGCCTTCTGATTGTCGTCTCTTGATCCCACACTGTTTGCAAGCATGGAAGAGTCCTGTAAACTATCCGTTCTTACCTCAGAGATCTCTCTCGCATCCTCTTTTGATGCTCCAACTGCTAAGTTTGAGGTCCATCCTGTAGCTGCCTGTTTGTTTGAACCTCCTGTGTCTCCATCCCACTTTCCCTGAGAGATGTCAGTGCCATCACCTGAACTTCCACCTACTGCATCACTGCTCTTCCTAACAGGGTCTTGTCCTGTATCCCACAAATCCGCACAGGAGACTCTAGCATCTCCACCATTATTTGGTCCAGCCCAATCCCCAGTAATGGGCTCTTTGTTCTTGTAGAGTGTCTGGTAAAGGGCATTGGCTGGACTCAAGGGTGCAGGAGGAGATTCCTCAGAGGCAGTGTGAGTTAGGGGTTCTCGACTTGAAAATGCTCTATCGGGGTCATCAGGGTTGTAGTTTTGAGTGCCCTCCTGGTCTCCAGAAGGTGATGACACCTTGGAATTGAAATGTTGATTGACTCCTTTAATGGACTCTTTATTCTGGGACTGTGAGGATGAACCTCCTGCCACACTGGCTTCTGCATATTCAGAGAGTTGAGAAGAACTGTTCATTCCCAGGGCGGCAGACGCATCCATCTCTAACCTGGCAGACTGCAGGGTCTGATCACTATTCCAATGGTCTTCCGGTCTTGGCCATTTCTCTACGTCAGAATTATCCTTGTCCATTCCCTGAGCAGAGGGTTGACCTTCTGAGCCAAGCCCCCATGTGTAATTTGCATAAGTGGGAGTGGCAGAGGCGTCAGACGATGAATGCAGAGAAACTGAATCTTCCGTATGATCTGAAAGAGGAAAAACAAACATCAGAACACACACAAAAAAAATCAATCATTAATAAATGAAACTCTACGTATAAACATACATACAATACAAAAGTTTGAGGTCACCATGATATTGTTAAAGAAATTTATACTTTGAGTCAGTAAATAATAATAATTAAATAATTCAAAATAAATTTGTTATACAAATAAATGCTGATTCAAATTTTTTTTACTTTATTGTATTTTCAACACTTCATTACTGACAAAAATATTTTCAACATTGATAATAATCAGAAATGTTTCTTGTGCAGCAAATCAGCATATTAGTATGATTTCTGAAGGATCATGTGACACTGAAGACAGGAGTAATTCATTGACCCCCGTACTCTAATCTATCCCGCCAGTTTCATAATGACCTAATATATTGAAACTTATCATAATAAAAGATATTTAAAACTTTTGAACGGCATTGTGTATAATTAAATGTTTTAAATGTTATATTCTAAGGAATTTAATCTCTGTTTTCGAGTAGGTTTGATTTAACACTCTAACCTTGGTTTTAGTTAAAACTGCAGTCCGTAGTTTTTCCTATTTGTCACCATCTCTGTTTGAAATCTGTAATTGCAGTCATTTGCGGAATTATCAACTTTACGCCTCGACACTAGCCTGGGAAAACCCAGACAACTTCCGGCAAATTTAGATTTGCTCTGAAAGTTAGTCTTGCAAAGAGCTCATTCAAACCCATTTCCAGTCCGCAGAAATCGCGGCACCCATCACAAACGTTGGGGCGGGCTTTACACGACGATGACAGCGCTGGGATTTTGAAGCGGAATTTGTAGCCTTCATTACAAAGATGGACGCCGCCGTCGAACATCACTCGGTCGAATCAGCTATTGCGTCTGTTTTTCAGCGATTTGAACGTTTCCTTTTTGTTAAAAACCAAGCAAAGAACAACACTCGGAGATGTTCCTCTCCGCCGGCCGCCGCTCTGCAAACGTCATCTCCTTCATCGCTCTGATTGGTTTTAGGTCTACCCACGACGTCCGTTGGTGACGCCCCTCTGGAAATGATTTGTCTATGATGCTTTTCCAGACCATATCTCAGTTACAACTGAGAATGGTCTAGTTTTAACCAGACTACCTCGACACGGCACAGCGCGCATGAATCCAATGTTTGAGCAGAAAGTGCGGCTGAACATGTCAAGCTTACCGTTTTGAATCGAGCTAAGGCAAGCAGAGAGTTTTGAACACTGGGTGGTTATGAACTTAAATTAATATTTAAAACTTTATTTTAGTCATTTAAACAGACTTATATAGCATTAAAGTAATGGCAAGATGAAAACATTTTTGCATAAATCTTGTAAATGTGAAGTTGATTCATTGTCATGATATATTCGGCCAGCAAAAAATCAGTCCTAAATCCAAACAATTAAAAATAAAATAAAAATCACTAATGCAGGCAGATTTACATGCATGCAGTACTTCCACCTACATAAGTCTTTCTCAGCTCTATTGAATACATTTGACCATATTAAAGCCCGTTCTGTGTCTACGGTCTCAATATTTTAAACTGGACCCACCTGAGGCGTCAGCGTGCTCCTGCAGGGGAAGCCGTGGCGTGTTGTCCGCTCCGTTCGCGCCCCCCCGCAGCATGCAGGACAGTGGCGGCTGACCCCTCTTCAGTAGCACCTTTGGCTCCGGCGTGTTGCGGAAGCGCGGGGGCACCTCACGGGGCATGGGGTGCTGGGACACCGCCGGGGGGGGCTGTCCGTCGGCCACAGTGGCCCGCTTTGCATCGTTCCCTCCCTCAAGGGGGCCCGACCAACCCCCGACAACAGGACAGGGGGAGGGTGTTTCGGCGGGACCGGGTCGCGATGAAGCACAGGTGAGAGTGCTGAGAGATGCCGAAGATGGAGAGGAGCCTGTTTCTGAGCGGTTAAGAAGAAGAAATTAAGCGCATTGCAGAGCATAGAAGGGCTGTCAAAATAAATGAAAAGATTAGTTCGAATTTCTTTCCTAAATATTAGCAAAATTCTAATTGTATTCAACTTCTAAAGATAATCCTTAGAGGTCTATCATACACTCTACGCAATGGGTAAACCATAACAGCAGGTGCGACAAGTGTATTTTGCTGGTTTCAGCCCAACGCGATTATCATTTTCTCGTCCTGCGCCACGTTGTTTAAATAGCAAATGCATTTCTGTTCACCCATTGGCTGCTGGTCTGAAAACGAGATGTGTGTTCAGACACATTGTTGGTGTGTTGCTATTTTGAAGAACTGAAAGACTAAGCTGTTTTAAATTTAAATATTATTCCACAATATTGCTGTTTTTTTTTTTTTAAATAAATGCAGTCTTGGTGAGCAGACAAGGCTTATTTCAAAAACATTAATCTCAATGACCTCAAACTTTTGAATGCTCATGTATGTGACTGCTTCAGATTTGTGAATACAAGATGTGTATTTCCCATTTAAACGTATTATTACTTATTATTAAGCTTATTATCATTTCCCATTAACTTATTGTCAGGCTAGTATTATTATCAAATAAATATTAGGACCTACACTTCATTTGCCTTCCCTAATTTTAATAACGACATCACCACATTGACATCAACACTGTCTGAGGATTAAAGAGGACTCAATGAAAATGTTTTTAAAACCAACTCAGTGTTTCCCCTAGGATTTTTTTATAAGGGGAGGGGGGGGGGGGTAGCAATCAAACAGCATGTTTAATTAATTGAAATCATATATTATGAAATTTAAGAATATATATATATATATATGAAGAGTTCCGACGCAAAAGCCTCTAAATGCCATTTGAAAGTTTCTTCTTTAATGATGATTTTTATCAAACTTGTATATTTAAGTTCAGTAATTTCACAATTAATAGGTAATTATCATTGCCATTTAAGTGAAATCACTGAACTTAAATATACAAGCTTGATAAAAATTATCATTCTAGAATAAAATTTCAAATGGCACTTAGAGGCTTTTGCATCTGAACTCTTCATATATATATATATATATATATATATAATTCCGCACTAATTCTGTGTTTTTGCTGGTAATAAAATGAAGAATGCTTTCTATTTATTCCTCGAAAATATACAGTAAATTTCCTTTTCGTCAGCATTTTAGGGGGAAATGGTATGGGAAACACTGCGACTACAAA